GTACATGTTCCTTCTCCAGCTCCGGGCCGAGGCCCCGGTACCTGATTGCGCTTGACCATAAACCCCGGCTGAACATCGGCCCTGTCAAAATCCACAGTTTTTTAAGAATATTAAACGCTTTTGTAGACGGCATAATACTTTTTTGCGTCGTATAATAAGCGTGGGAGAGCCATTCTTCGGTACGAGTGGGTCGGTTTGACTGTAATGATACCACGGCCTCAAAGTAAACCGGCTTGAAGCAATTAATAAATTTCTAAAACCCCAATCTCCAAAAGGCCACTAACACACTCGTCGCCGATTGCTTCCCATCAGCTCGTTTGCCGACCTATCACAGAAAAAAATACACCAAGCAGCTAGATAATATTGTAATCGTGCCAAAGGTTGGCCATCCCTGACCTGTATGATATAGGTACCTATACAGCCGATGTGTGGCCCGGTCATTGAACCCAATCGTAATACAAGCCTATAAGACACTTATTTAGGACGATCGTTATAATGTTTTGATTACGTTCGTGATTTTAATGAGGAGTTAAGTATTACGATGAGCCGAGGAGTCCTTATCCCCGATTCGAGTTTGTTTTGCAGCAAACAAAATTAAGTATAAACTGTTTACAGTCGATGGTTTTTTATGGAATAGCTCGGCAAACCAGCACACGGATTACCTGATGGTAAGCGGCCGGGTTTGTTGGTCAAACGCAATGACAGAACCAACTCAGAGCGGAATAAAGAACGAGGTGACTATTAGTCAATAATGGTCCAAGACTTTACAAAAGAAACAAAATGGCGGATGGTTAATAAAAGAGAAGAGAGAGAGATAAATCTTTGACAAAACATAACTTTTCCGAAGTTACTTTGTAAGTTCCGTTCTACTTTTCTTTGTGCGTGGATACCATTGTAGATAGCTGGAAAAGTATAACTATCGTACAGTGTGTATCGAAAAAAAAAGTTACTTTAATACGGTATAGAATAGAGAAGTAATGCTGTATAATAAACTTCTTTTTTAAAAAAAAGGACTAATCGTCAATTAAATTCTCTTGGGTGAGGCAAGAAGGAGTTTCAGACTCTTACTGACCAAAAACTTCCCGTTCCTTCTCATTCTCTGGGCCGAGGAACCTTATTACGCTTACCCCGCAACACCAGCTAAACTTAAGCCTTTTAAATTGCGATGTCGGAGATCCAAATGTATGGTCAACTGGCTGCCGTAAAAAAGAGCGTGGGTTCGATTTCACACGGCACAACACTTTGCGTGATCCACAAATTGTTGTTTCGGGTCTGGTTTTATATGTACACATGTGCATGTTTGTAAACGCACCCATGACACAGGAGAGAATCCTAATGTGCAAGGTGCAATCCAAAGGGCAACGTTTTAAAGAAAAAGAAAAATAGGCTTGATTAGGGCAGATGTGTAATCAAATAACCATTGTCAAGACTAGTCTACTAGCATAGTCGTCCATAAGAATAAAAACATCCAATTATTCCTAATTATAAATAATTGCAACAACAAAAATAAAAGATCACACAACACGTTCCATATCAATCATTCAGATTGCAGATGCAGAAATATGATTCATGCTGAACCCGTATATCTCAAGTATAATTTGATTGCTCCGGATAAAACGCATACTACGGAAATACGGCTCTCGACTTCCCCTTTCATTGACTTCCCTACTGCAATATTCATTTTATGCTTCTCGGAATAGAGTTCGTTTTGAATTGGAGCACCGACTCTAATGTTTCCACTTTTCATTAAAGGTGGATAGTTTCTTTTTTTTATTTGTAATTAAAATGTTTGCAATGTGATTATGATCTGGCTCATCTAATTGAAGAAATAACAACCATTACATAATCGTCTATTATACCTAATAGCTACATTACAGATTGAATTATCAATGGGTTTTCATTTTGAGGCGGAGAATCATCCTGGGCGGGAGAATCATCAAATGACTTCTCCCGCCCAGGGTCGGGAGTCAGACTCTTACTGACTAAAACACCCCCGTCCCTTCTACTGCTCTGGGCCGAAGCCGCGGTGACTCATCGCGCTTAAAACCCGCAACCCCGGCTGAACATCAGCTTTATAGGGCCCCGTCTGTGGCGGTCTATTGGCTCTTTGAGGCGCGCGCGGAACGCTACGCGCCGTACGCTCGAGTCTGGTTCTGGTCGGGCGGCGAGCTACCCTTACTCGCCACTCGCAGACCCGCGCTTGCGGTGGCCGGAGATCATCTCTCGAGCCCTGGGTGCGGCGAGAGGGAGTGTCAGAGTCTTACTAATTGAAAACTACCACGTTCCGACTCCGCAATCCAAACTAAACATCAAGTCTGTTGGGCCTCATCTGTAGTGGTATATTGGCTCTTTAAGGTATCATCAATGGACTGTCTATTTCTATTGCAATAGTATTTTTCAAGATCAAATATTGTATAAAAATTATACAATATTTGACCATTAATAGGATGCAATGTATTATCCCAGACCATAATCTATCCCTGTGTCAAATTTCATGCACATTCATTCAGTAGTTTTTACGTGGAAGAGTAACAAACATCCATCCATTCTTCAGTAACTTTGAGTTAAATCAAACACCTTACAATAATTCAATAGAAAAAAAATAACATCGATCTTTATATATCAACTAGTTTTTGCCCGCGACTCCGTTCGCGTGGAACATTGACTTCCTGCAGATTTTTTATACAAAAACTATCCTTTTCCTATGTCCTTTCTCGAGATCCAAACTAATGTCTGTACCAAATTTCACAGAAATCGGTTCAGTAGTTTAGGCGTGAAGAAAAGACAGACAGACAGACAGATTTACTTTCGGATTTATAATTTTAATTTTGGATAAAATCTGACGAACGAAAAATTGTACACGCGTTCAGTATTGATTGAACTTAAGAACATACTGCATTTTGTGTTTAGTTAACTATATACATAAATGAAGTCAAAATCAACAGAGCAATAACGAAAGCACAAATAATTTTTTTCCTTCGTATTTGATTAAGAAAATTGTCAACACTTCACTTAAGAATCTGACCTATTAAATGGGTTATCCAATCTCCCTCACGTAGGGAATCGATGCACATATACATATATACAATATACATAGATCTGTGTACATAGAATGGAAGGCACAAACATACGAAATGGGAACAGCGAAAAGATTGACAGCCACCGGACATCCGTGGTCGGACGTGGTGTAACGTAGGGTGTCTCTCATGTTAGCAATTGGTAGACAGTACTGTCAAACAGGAAGATAGGATAGTTGGGTAGTTGAATTTACGTGATAAGGGTTGGAATGTTGTTAAGGAATTAGGTAATGTAATGTGACCAGAATTTGTGTTATTTAGGGAGTAATTTCTGAAGAGAATGTAACTGTCTGTGTTATGTTGGATGTGATTGCTTTTTTTATAAAGTTGGTGTATTTTCGAACTAGAATTTCAGTGAGTGAAATGATTTGTAATAAACAAAAACAGTATTTGTAAGTGACGTTCGAATTATTCGAAATACAAAAAAATATTGTGGTGTTCTAGCAACATTCAGCAACGATATATGATTTGAACTGCGTAAAAAAGGGTACAGTTTGGGGGTTGTCTCACCTTAGCATCTGTTATATATATATATATATATATCAAGATGTATTCCTCACCTTTCAGTGAATAAGCCAGTATTTATGGTCGTGTCTTAAAACAAGAGGGAGTAGTTAAATATTTTAGACTATAATAAGAACTAATTAAAGTTGAAAATTATTTAAAAAATATCTAGGGTGTATTTTGTGAATTTCAAACTACATACTTAACGTCTTTATTGGAAATTATTATATATATTATATATTTATTATTTCTCGGTTGTATATGCGGACTACATTATAAGGTATATATTGAAAAAATACCTCAGTTAGTAGTTTTAAATATTATGGATATCGCGAAGTACTAGTGTGAAGTTTTCTTTTGTATTTTCTAAAAACGACTGAAGCGAAATGAATAAGGTACGGATTGGTTTTTAGTCAGTAAAAGAGTCTGACAATCCGTCTAATATCTAGCCCTGCCCACGGTGAGAGAAGACAATGAGGGATTATCCCCTCAAAAAAAAAAAAACGTAACTAACCTTTTGTTTTCGGTTGATCCAATCCATTAGCTGGAACGCGGTTAGTTGGTGAAGCGAATAGCGCGTTAATATGCAAATATTGGTCACAGACACAGATCGATTGTCATAGGACTCTCACTAATTAATAAAGTGATAGCGCTCATTGTGTTGCTAATATAATTATTGAAGCTTTTGAACCGTAATGCTGTTCCCAATTAAACTAATACGTATTCATATGAGATCATGTATTCACTAAAGTAATACTATTCAATTCACAATACATATAGGATCTTCATAATCCAAATTCACTTAACAAACTTAAAACGATAGCTATTGAAACACTAAGGCTACAAAAGAAAAGCTTTTACTGCTGAAACTCTTGGTAATCAGTCTTCCTAAATGAACGATATTTTACCGCCAAAATCCATGGCGCTCTTATTGGCCCAAGCCATTTATCATCGTGTCGAAAACCAAGGCGGACTGCAAAAATAGAACGCCCACTCTAACTTTATTCACATCTTTACACGAAATTTAAATAAACTAAAGGTTTATTTAGAATCTTACGCATTGTATTTTGATAACAATTGCATTGTTCTAGTACCGCTGAGTTCATTGAACCACCTGTCAGAGCAAGGAGATCAATAAATATGAAGGATCAAGTTTATCCTGGGAAAATCATTGTCACCGTACTACCCCCTCCACACCACACTTCGCCTCCCCAAATAGGTCAAACTCCACATCTCATTACTTGAGCACACAAAATTTAATACCATCGCTAAACAAACATTAAAACTTGAAAAATTGATCTTCGAAAATTGGGTCCGGGCACATGGAGCCCCCGCCCCCCGCGCGTTTGACAGTTGGCACGCCCTGCCGTAGGTACAACAACAGATCCTTTACTATTATCTCATTAGGATGCTACTCACGAGTCTCCCGACGCACTTGCTTGTTGATATCCTCCGAAGGAGTCTCTTCCTCTCCGTGTCATTGTCGCTGTCCGTGCTATCCTCACAATAACCAGGTTTTTTCTCTTCCGCGGTCGCATTCCCACCGGCCACTGACATCACTCCACGGGCGTTCGCACACCACACACACAGCACTCATTAAACACAACTACATCATACAGGATAAGCTTATAATTTACATTGTATAAACGATTCGCTACCTCGGTGACATTTCACGCGAACGCCATGACAATAGTGACAGTACGCCGCCGCTGAAAACAAAACAACCCTGAAAGGTAGACAGCGACATCTAGTCGGCGCGTGCGGAATCATTTCCTTTGTTCGTCGCTATAGTCTGAAATAAAACACCTGAAACTTTCGTCTCTACGTGGCGTTTTAGTTCTTGTTAACACCGTTAGATGACGTTCAAGTTTTGCTTTCACACAAAAACGAGATAAGCAGAATATAGAGCTTTTAGCCTTTTTTTTAATTGATTCAGATTAATAAAACATGTTTATATTGACGGAATAGATTTTTTTAATAATGTAATGGCTGGAAAATAAATGCTGGCCGATATATTTACTTCTTTATAACATCAAAAATATTCTAGAATCTAGAATGTCAATCCAAAACTCTCGAAAGTCATAGTGACCATTTTTGAAATCAGTTTTCTGAAATCCGACGTAAGATGCACACGGTGTAATTATTACGTAGAAGATTTTTTTTTAGTTTTTTTTATTAGTTTTTAAGCTAATGTTAAGCAGCAATTTTGAGAAACGGTTTCGATAATTTCACGATAAATTTTCAAGTATTATAAATCTACACGATAAATTGCCAAGATGAGGGAGATCATTAACCTTCAGGTTGGTTCTTGTGGGAACCAGATTGGAGGGAAGGTGAGCATCTGTTTTCATATTAACAAAGTACCTATGACCGTAGTACCTTAATCTTAACGATAAAGAGTTAAAATCTCGGATATCAAATACCTGTAAGTTAAGAAAATTTACATATTTTGTCTCCAGTTCTGGGAGGTGATATCCGACGAGCATGGCATCGACCCGAGCGGGTGCTACCACGGCGACTCCGACCTTCAACTGGAACGCATCAACGTGTACTACAACGAGGCGTCGGGTGGCAAGTACGTCCCCCGCACCATCCTTGTTGACCTCAAGCCTGCCACCATGGACGCTGTGCGCTCAGGACCTTTCGGCTGCCTCTACAGACCAGACAACTTCGTTTACGGACAGAATGGTGCTGCGAATAACTGGGCACGCGGCCATTATACCGAAGGTGTAGAGATCCTGGAGTCCTGTCTCGACGTTGTGCGAAGAGAAGCGGAAGGCTGTGACTGTCTTCAAGGCTTTCAAGTATCACACTCGCTTGGGGGCGGTACTGGCTCCGGCCTAGGTACACTTCTAGTTAACAGAATACGCGAAGAGTATCCCGACAGAATCATCCTGACGTTCTCTGTATTTCCAAGTCCGAGAGTCTCGGACTGTGTAGTGGAGCCGTACAATACGACATTGGCTGTGAACCAGCTGGTCGAGAACACTGACCACACGTTCTGTTTAGACAATGAAGCACTGTATGACATTTGCTTCAGAACGCTGAAGCTCACAACGCCCACGTACGGCGACCTAAACCATCTCATATGTGCCACCATGTCCGGCATCACGACGTGCTTGCGCTTCCCTGGCCAGCTAAATGCAGATCTGAGGAAGCTCGCCGTCAACATGGTGCCGTTCCCGAGATTACACTTCTACACCCCAGGTTTCGCGCCACTGACGTCACGGGGCGCGCAACAATACAGAGCACTCACTGTCCCCGAATTAACTCTCCAAATGTTTGATGCCAAGAACATGATGGTTGCTTGCGACCCCAGACACGGCCGGTACCTGACCGTGGCCACGATATTCAGAGGACGTATGTCTATGAAGGAGGTGGACGAACAACTTGTAAACATACAGAACAAGAACAGCACATATTTCGTAGAGTGGATACCGAATAACTGCAAGATAGCAGTTTGTGATATCCCCCCACGAGGGCTGAAAATGGCGTCCACTTTCATAGGGAACACGACAGCTATTCAGAGCATATTCAAGAGGATAGCGGAACAGTTCGTGGCCATGTTCAGGAGGAAAGCCTTCCTTCACTGGTATACTGGTGAAGGTATGGATGAAATGGAATTCACAGAAGCAGACAGTAATATGAATGACCTGGTGTCTGAATACCAGCAGTACCAGGACGCGACGGCGGATGACGAGGGAGAGTTTGACGAAGAAGCAGAAGGCGAGGGTTTAGAATAGCAAATAAGATTCGGTTATGTGTTTGTGTATGTCCATGTGAATGTCCAAATAAATATAAACCTGCTATTATATTTCACTTTTCTTGATAATTTTAGATCTAAGATTACCTTGTCCAATAGAAAATGCTAAGCTTCAGTAAAAAGTTCCAAAGTTCTAACGCTTACTAATAAGTCCTTCCATAACTCACTATGGGTACAGAGCTACAAATCTATTGAATCTGTTGACTGGGGTGGACGAGCGGGAAGGGCTCGACATTTAAGGTGCTCCCACACAGCAGTTATATAACGTTAAACATTGACATTTATAACAGCGCGTAACAATAATCTACAACATGTCAAGAAATGTTAATAAACGCTTAATAAAACGCTTTAATAAACGCTCCCAAATTAGTTGAACTCGTTGTATAACATCGTATAACATTATGTTCAATCAGTTCGGGTTTGTCTTTCGAAGAAGGTGGTAGTGAACCAATAATGGAGGAAGTGCTGATAGGTTTGGCGTTTATTTTTTATTTGAAAAAAAAGAAGAAAAGGCGCTCTTACTGGATGCGTCGAACTCTGAAAGCGAGACGCTAAATTTATATTTTTTAATATCATATTCTAATCAGTTGTAAAACATTATGTTAAATGTAGTTTTATAACATCAATAACAATTTATTATAATTTGTAACAGTTTATAACTTTTGTTATACCTAATTTGTTTAAAAAAGTCAGTCTAACGTTATATAGGTAACTGCTGTGTGGGAGCACCTTTAGGTACGTTCGCTCAAGAACATCCAGACAACGTAGGTTCCACGACTGTCGTTCGACACGAACTGTCCCGCGCGATTTCGCCATTCGTACGGAACAAGCTGGTCACCCAACCACCCAACGGACTGCACGATTGACGCAGTGGCTGGGCAACCAGTTGATGTCGCGGGTTCGAACACTTACGTGCGATCCACAAGTAATTCCTGTGTACCTATCATCATCAGCCTATAAGTGCTTACTGCTGAGCAAAGGCCTCTTACACGGAGAAGGTTAAGCTAACCTAACCTTCTTAACACGTTACTCTCTCTCAATTTTGCTTACCATGTTTTTTTACATACTATAATCTCATTAATATTTTGTTGATATTATTAAAAATAATTGTTCTAATGAAACAATTTATGTGTGTAAAAGGCCATAAGACCGCACTTGGATACGTATCAACATAAAATAATCTAGGTGACGCCGATATTACCTATCTGACAACTCTGAAAAGTGCGGCAATGAAATCAGACTCTTAGGCTAAGAACTCACGGAGCGATTTTGAACCGTGCCCGCCGCGGTTGCGGGCCCGCAGCTTCTGTAGAATTCAAATATTTATATAAAAAATTAAAGCACATTTCACGACGCGTTTTACGCCCGCGGTGTACGCGGTTATATGCGGCTCCCGCTGTACCGGCGGGCAACTAGTAGAATCGCGCGGGCCGCGGTTACCCGCAGTCTCGGCGGGTGGCACCCGCGCGCTTTGCGATCGGTTGGCGAGCGACCGCGGGGGCCGGCGGGTCTTCTGTGAAGTAAATATAACGCAACGGCTCGTTTCTGGTGTGTGTCCATGGCGGTCTGGACCTCAACTGATCGTTAACCACCCGTCTTGCAATCTTGCGATCATCGCCCGCCGCGTTTGCGGGCGATCATCGCAAGCGCGGCGGCTGTGTAACCGCGCAAATTACCGGTCTCGTGAGTTTGGAAATAAAACCGCAGTTCCGCTACCGCGGCGGGCACGGTTCAAAATCGCTCCGTGAGTTCTTAGCCTTAAAGTCCAAACAAATATAAAAAATATTATTTGTATGTCTTTACCAATAACGGGACCACAAGGTCCCGGTCATTCGGGAAGCATACGAGGGGCCGGAGCCAACATCGCAGGGATCCTTTAGCAACTTTGATCTAAATGAAATGGGACACAAACCGGGGACTATCCCTGAATGCACTATGGAAACACACTCAAGGACAGGCCAGTTCACAACCACCCCAAATCACTGTTGTCGCTGAAAGAGTCGACGAACAATACTGACTATAAAAGTACATTTGTGTGACCCACACAAATGCTCAAGACTAGAGACAAGAAAGTAAATAATTAATTAGTGGTCGAAAAGCGAGACAATGTTTCATACGATACTTACATTAACAATCATTAATTTTATTGGATACCACTACCACCATTGTTGGTATTAGGTAATGACTGAAGTTTACCACCCTTAGAAAAATATATAAAAGTATATTGTTTTAGCTTGCAAGCACGGATTTATCGGCTATTTTGTTACAGATAAATTTAATAATAATAAATTTAAATTTAATAAATTTAATAAATTTATTAGTTCACTTGTTACAATTAGGTACATTAGGTCCTTATCGAAGTAACTTACATTATAAACTATTGTAACTATGAGTGCCGGTACATTATTTTAATATTAGTGGTCCCCAAACTAGGCTATGCCTGTATCTTGAGGACATGCAGATATTTTAGTTTATTAGGTAGGTACCTACTGCTTATCTTACTAAATGAAATGTGTAGATGATAAAACTCCGAGGCCAGGCACTGAATGTTGGGGTTAATAATTATGCAAGGCATACCTACGCGTATTTATGAAATAGGTTTCAATACGGCCCTGGCAAAAAAGCCTGGCCATCTAGATTCCCCGTTCATAAACTCGGTTTTTGAAAACCGATCAAAATTTTTAAATACTTTGACAAAAGAATGCACAAGCCTCATTATTAAAGAAAATTTCGTGTACTATGCACATGCAGTGATACGTTACTATTTTTTTTATACCTTTTTTATTATTTAAGCCGTTTGATGACAAATTAAACTAAAGTGAAATTTTAATATCATAGTTTAGGCACAAAATTATTGGTGAATTTTATAAAAATGAGGGAAATCGTCCACATTCAGGCCGGGCAATGCGGAAATCAGATCGGAGCGAAGGTAAGACATAACTTTCTAAAGGAGCTAATTTCGAATAGCATTGTAACACATCCCTAGATTTTAGACCCCACAATGACAGCAAAACGAGGACAATACTAAATCACAAACCTGTCTTTGCCATAAATGTCTTCAATATTGACGTAAAGTCGTCTTTTTCAGTTCTGGGAAGTGATTTCCGATGAGCATGGCATCGACTCCACGGGTGCCTACAATGGAGACTCTGATCTACAACTCGAGCGCATCAACGTGTACTACAACGAGGCTTCAGGTGGCAAATACGTGCCACGCGCTGTCCTCGTCGATCTCGAGCCCGGCACCATGGACTCTGTGCGCTCCGGGCCCTTTGGCCAAATATTTCGCCCTGATAACTTTGTCTTCGGACAATCGGGAGCAGGAAATAACTGGGCTAAGGGCCACTACACTGAGGGCGCTGAACTAGTAGACTCAGTCCTTGATGTCGTTAGAAAAGAAGCTGAGGGATGCGACTGCTTACAAGGTTTCCAGCTTACACATTCTCTTGGAGGTGGTACTGGCTCTGGAATGGGCACCTTGCTCATTTCCAAAATAAGGGAAGAATATCCCGACAGGATTATGAATACCTTCTCTGTAGTCCCGAGTCCAAAAGTATCGGATACGGTGGTAGAACCCTACAACGCTACTCTGTCGGTCCATCAATTAGTCGAGAATACTGACGAGACCTACTGCATCGACAACGAAGCTTTGTACGACATCTGCTTCCGAACTTTGAAGCTGACTACCCCAACATACGGAGATTTGAACCACCTGGTCTCGGCAACTATGTCGGGTGTCACGACGTGTCTCAGGTTCCCTGGGCAACTGAATGCAGATCTAAGGAAGTTAGCTGTAAACATGGTACCATTTCCTAGACTGCATTTCTTTATGCCTGGCTTTGCTCCACTCACATCTCGAGGAAGCCAGCAATACCGCGCCCTCACTGTACCCGAGCTCACCCAACAAATGTTTGACGCGAAGAACATGATGGCGGCGTGTGATCCTCGCCATGGGAGATACCTCACCGTTGCCGCAGTGTTCCGCGGTCGCATGTCCATGAAGGAAGTGGACGAACAGATGCTCAACATCCAGAACAAGAACAGCATTTACTTCGTAGAATGGATTCCAAATAATGTCAAGACTGCCGTCTGCGATATACCTCCGCGAGGTTTGAAAATGTCTGCTACGTTCATCGGTAATACGACAGCTATACAGGAACTGTTTAAGAGAATTTCTGAGCAGTTCACTGCCATGTTTAGAAGGAAAGCCTTCTTACATTGGTACACCGGTGAAGGTATGGATGAGATGGAATTCACGGAGGCGGAGAGCAACATGAACGACCTGGTGTCGGAATACCAGCAGTACCAGGAAGCGACGGTAGACGACGAAGGAGAATTCGACGAGGAAGTGGAGGAAGAATAAATGTTTAAATGTTTGTACATGTCCAGTGTATTGTATTGTCCATGTCCTTGTTTAGTGTTAGGCATAACTATTCGTTTTGATGTTTTATAGTTTTGTTACAATAAATATTTAAGTAACAAGTACTGGTTTCAATTTTATTTTTCAAGAAAAGCTCCGTAGTATACTTACATGTACTTACGAAGGCCAGGCCGTTAGGGTGTAATTAGTGAGGCCAACTCGACCAGTGCGGAGCCTCGAGCGGGGCTATAGAACGAACCTTTCAAGATCTGTCAGTCTGACGAAAATGAATGTAGGATTTTTGTTTACATTATAACGTGTCAAGTTACAGCTTAGATGTTTCGACTCGCCCTTTGCCCACCGTACACCTCGTGAGACCACCTAGGTGTGCAGCGGGAAGTTTTATTTTACTACTGTTCACCTTGGTTCACCTGGGTGTACCGTGGGAAATATAAAATTTCCTCCGCCCGCTTTACTATCAAAACTTTATCTGAAGAGCAAAGGGTTTAATGAATCAAACTTATGTAATGCTGTGACATAGACAGCTGTTTATTTTCATAGAAGCAAATTACCTATTTAAAAAGCGCAAGAAAAAGAAACATGAATGAATTAAAAACGGATGTAGTTAAACGATCACAAATACACAAATAATTTATTAAAATAAATACACAACATTAAAATTAATTTACCCATCACTCATCATCATCATTGGCCTCCTCGGCGTCTTCTTCATCTTCAAACGCCTGGTCCTCACTGGTCGCGTCCTGGTACTGTTGGTACTCCGATATTAAGTCACTTAAGTTGTTGTCAGCTTCTGTGAATTCGGTCTCATCCATTCCCTCACCGGTGTACCAATGCAGGAACGCTTTCCGCCTAAACATCGACGTAAACTGCTCCGAAACTCGTTTGAACAGCTCCTGTATAGCTGTCGTATTACCGATGAACGTAGCAGACATCTTCAAACCTCGCGGAGGTATATCGCAGACGGCAGTCTTGACATTATTTGGAATCCATTCCACGAAGAACTCCTTATTTTTTTTCTGAATATTTAACATTTGTTCGTCTACCTCCTTCATCGACATACGACCTCGGAAGATCGCTGCAACAGTCAAGTATCTACCGTGGCGAGGATCGCAGGCTGCCATCATATTTTTGGCATCGAACATCTGATGCGTTAGCTCTGGTACAGTTAGAGCTCTATACTTTTGACTCCCTCGAGACGTTAGCGGAGCAAAACCTGGCATAAAGAAGTGCAGCCTAGGGAACGGGACCATATTTACAGCCAACTTCCTCAAATCGGCGTTTAGCTGTCCAGGGAATCTTAGACAAGTTGTGACACCTGACATGGTACAGGACACCAGATGATTCAAGTCTCCATACGTAGGTGTCGACAGCTTAAGTGTTCGGAAACAAATGTCATATAGGGCTTCATTATCAATACAAAACGATTGCGTGGAGTTCTCTATCAAATTATTAACTGCTAAAGTAGCATTGTATGGCTCCACAACGGTATCAGAAACCTTAGGACTGGGCACCACAGAGTATGTAACCAAAATTCTGTCTGGATATTCTTCGGCTAAATTCGCCAAAAGCAGGGTTCCTAATCCAGAACCGGTGCCGCCTCCAAGAGAATGGACTAACTGGAATCCTTGTAAGCAATCGCAGCCTTCCGCTTCTTTTCGTACAACATCTAAGATAGATTCAAGCAAATCTGCGCCTTCTGTGTAGAATCCTTTAGCCCAGTTATTGCCTGCTCCTGTGACACCAAATACGATGTTGTCCGGTCGGAATATCTGTCCGTAGACTCCTCCTCTAATGGCATCCATAGTGCCAGGTTCTAAATCGACCAGTACAGCTCTGGGAACGAATTTGGAGCATAGTCCTTCGTTATAATAGACCTGTATGCGTTCTAACTGAAGGTCGGAGTCACCGTGGTACACGCCTTGTGGGTCAATGCCATGTTCGTCGGAGATCACTTCCCAGAACTGGAAATAAAGTAAAAGGACGGTTTGAGTACGGAATTAACTGATTATTATTTCGACAGTCTGATCTGAAAATAACCAGAGAAGGCTTTGGTTCAGCAGCAGAATATGTTGTTGTATGTCGTAGGTTTTTTGTGTAATAGGAGGAACGCGATCAGACGCATCATCAGAGGGTACCCAATAAGCATCATCCGTGCACTTTTTTCATTAATCCTATCCTATCTTACATAAGATAAGATCTATTCTGACATTAAGAGGAATGCGGTAAAGAACTCGAACTATCAGCTTCATCACTACAACTATTAGTACTCTTCCATATCAACTCTTACGTTTTCCATTCCTGTTTTATTACATCGTCCTAAAAATAATACTATAATGTGTCCAGCGTATAAAATATGTAGGTACTAAGTAAATGTAACTTACCTTAGATCCAATCTGATTGCCACACCTCCCAACTTGGATATGAACAATTTCTCTCATGGTAACACTGAGAATTTACCGAAAAACTAAACAAAAAACTTCTAAAGGTATCTTAAAAAACTAATTAATAAACAGAAAACGTTTTAGCACGGCTACATTTAATTGTAACAATTAAAAAATTAAATAAACGAGCTTAAAATTAAGGCGTTTTGTTTCATGGCCCAACAGAATGTCGATGGTTTTGGTAAACCAACTAGATTACCCCTATTTTTCCATATTTCAAAAAGTGTCGTTAACTTTTATTTTTATCTAATGGCAAATTCTTTTTACTTTTTTTCAATGCTACCTTTTAGAACGAACTGTACATTTTTATCTGTTGATAATAAAGAAAAAATCGCATAACTTTCTTTTCATTTTGTTGTTCAACTGAGGCAATCCAGTTGGCCATTTAACAGAACTCGTACAGAACACGCGGCCAGAGCGAGACAGAGCATCGCAAATTGCCGCCTGCGCCAGCGCGTCACGACAGTAGAGCACGCGCGCTCGCGCCCAATAATTTTTTTTTTTTTAATATCGTCCCATGTTAAGATTTTCTCCTGTGTCATGGGTGCGTACATACACAAGCCACCCAAACCCGAAACAACAATTTGCAAATCACACAGTGTTCTTCCGTGCAGGAATCGAACCCGCGACACGTTGCTCAACGGCTAGTTGCCCAGCCACTGCGCCAACCGTGCAGTCAATTAAACTAGTAGTAATTATTTGCAATTAATAGTGGTCAACTTATCCTTTTGTTTTACATTATTATAAATCATAATTTAAATTATCAAAAAGTCAGTGTATCGATCGATCGATGAATAAAAGTATAATAGTTATTTTTTAATATTTTATTGTACTGAAACGTCGAAATAATTTATTTTTGACCTAGGATGCAGGGAATTCTCTCCAGATCCTTCTGAAGCTCTTAGTAAAATTAGTCACTTCAAAGTTAATTTATAAAATCCATAAAACCAATAAAAAACGCCCAATATTAATTAATAACTTTAATAATAAAAAATATACAATAACCACAAAACAATAGTCACATCAAAATTGCGTCGTGCTTATAAAAATGCAAAATACAAATTAATTCGTCTAGCTGAATAATATATTAGCATCTATTTAATTAAGTAACTCTTTACATTTTCAAACATACTACATAGTGAAAGTATTGCAAATAATTATAGAATATCATGGCGTAATATTATTTCGGGACACGCATGCTTATTAGTTAAGAGACAAATATGGGTTCTTAAGCTGAGCGTTTGAACCTTTTTATTTATGGTGAAGGTCGGCAAACGAGCAGATGGGTACCTGACGGTAAGCAATCAGCGCCGCCCATCGAAACTCTCAACACCAAAGGAGTAACGAGTGCGTTACCGGCCCTTTAGCGATAAGGGTTTCGGATATTTAAAGATGAGGGAGGGGGCGGGATTGGGTCTCCGGTAACCTCACTTACACGGAGAAACACAGCGCTGTGGTTATTTTACACCGGCCGCCGACACGGATGCTTTCTGTGAGGCCGTGGTATCTCTCCGGTCGAGCCGACCCATTCGGGCCGAAGCCTGGCTCTCCCACACCTGACTATTTTTTATTTGTATATTTTAAATTCACAGCGCAAAACATTTTTGATCAGTACCCATTTCCCGACTAGTAGAGTCCTGTCGATCGATCCTGACTCCGAAATCTTCTTATAACCAATGAGGTTGCATTATTTCATAGTATACAATCTGCAGAGCTCAAGTGCAACTGTGATACCTAAATGTACTCATCAATATAATATCAATCTTACTGCAAGGTAATAAAGTAGAAATTCCAACTCACAATTGACTTGAAAAATTATACACGAACATTTTTTTTTGGTTGGAGAGCCTCCAAATGCCACCAACAGATGGCGTCCTATTAAAGACATTTTTTGTCTCGTAAACCCACAGAACAGAAAATTAAGTAGAAGTGCCCCTACACTCTTTCAAAAAGAAAACCAGTGTCGCCAAAATCACACATTCGCAAATCAAATTGTCCATTACACACATAAAAAAATACTATATAATTGGGTAAAAAGTTGTAACGCAACTTTAGCAAATCATCTTCTAAATGTTGTTAAAAATTGAGTCTTATAACAATGAGCCAAAGTTGTTATCATTTCACATGTCACAATCAATAAGGGCGTCTATCGTGTAGAAAACTTAAATAAAACTATTTACAAACGGGTTCAGCCACTCAATGCTAGATGGCGCTGTAACAAATTCATTCTATTCAAAACGCTAACCTCTTTGAAATAGATGTCATATTTGCATGCACTTGTACCAATAGACATTACTATTTTGCTACTCAGATAGGGCAGGGTATCCCAATATATCGATATTATTTATTGTATTCGTGTGAGCAATATAATTTATCGACACGATATACCTAGAAATGATCAGTAACGAAAAAGTTTCTAATAGAAAAAAAAAAAGAAAAATATTAACATTTTTTGAAGATTTAATGTTTTTGGAGATGGTCAAGTTATTATTAAAGATTTCGATTTTAACATATAAAAGCACTACACGCTCCTACAAGTTTAATCTCCTTTTCAACAAAAATAGAATTATTAAAATCGGTTCATAAATAACGGAGACGAACGAACAAAAAAAAACATGTACGGTCAAATTGAGAGTCACTCTCCTTTTTGCAACTCTTAAAAATCATGTACAACATTATAAAATAAAAATGGTGATTAACCACCCGCACCTACCACAGACGGATGCACGCTGTGTGTGGTTAAAACGTTGATGTGTCTATGCAATCTTAGTTAAACATTTATGAATTATACTCAAAAATTGACAAAAATCAATTTTCTGAACGATGATGATGAAAAATTCTCGATACGAACCTAATTTACGAATGTGTCCCATCCCTAAATGAGTAGCGTCGAAACTACTGGAATATATTGTATATAACGTCACATAACGAACAAGTAGATTTAAAGTTAATTGTAATGAAAATAAGGCCCTTTATAGTTTGCATTGAAGTAATGAAATGTGATATTTTCATTAAAATCAAATATATTTTTAAAATTAACAAAGGTTAATACTCAACGATGATACGATACACCACCAAAAGACACATTTTTTGTTCTGCTTACTTTTTTGCAGTTGAAAACCGCACAACAAGGCATAATTTCTAATATATTTCGTGTTTCTTAGAGACAACCATGACAACCGATCATGACAACGGAGCGAACGATTCTGACAGCGAATGTTCCAAAAGGTTGTAAATCTATACATAATGTTGATTAGCGCGCGATGTCTGAGTGGCACTTCCACTGTATTTTCTATTCCGTGCGTAAACCACTTTACTCACTTACACGGCGAAACAAAATTGTTGTTTCACGCCGGTTTTCTTTGAGTTACTTTCACTTTTGTCATTCAAGTATTTATTATTTGTACCTTAAGTTACTAAGCATCTTTAGTTGACTTAATTATATTATCTAGAACATTATTATTGCACTAAAAAACTTACAACTAGAAGACTATGACTATCAGCGCCTGCGCAGACTAGAGACTTATAGCCGTTGGTTACAAAAATCTAAAAATTAAGAGTTGGAAATGGTGTCCTAGCCAATAATAATCCCACTAATAAATGCAAAATTTTGTAACTATGCTTCATGCATAGTTACAAAATTTTGTTTGTTATTCTTTCTTTTTCTCTTCTTTAGGAAATCTCTCTTTTAGACCCATCCTACCTTACATAGTCATAAACATAATCTATGAACCTATGGTTTTTTTTCAATTCCGGAGTGAATTTGTACGTCAATAAAATTATTTGTATACCGTCATAGATTTTATTCTTAAAGGGTTAAGCAGGAGTGCACATAAATCTACATGAGACAATTTAACCCTTGACGCTAGTTATGTTATGGATATCATTTTTAATATGAGGTGAGACAGAAAACTAGCACAATTATAGACTCCATGACACCAACATGAAAAAGAAAAACCCCGTGTATAGACTGTAGCCTACGCAGGCCTTTATTAAAATAATTCGATAGTTTCCAACTAGTCAAATCCAATACTTTTATTGAAATTTCAACAAAGATTGTTTCGATGAATTTAGTATGAAAATCGCAACATATGACATCTTATGCTAGGTCGTTGCAGACCAGAGGTAAAAGCTCCCGATTCTTATGCACGAGGGTTCCAAACCTGACAAGTACCAAATGTGACTTTATCTAAGTTACATAAACTTTCAAAGTGTACTTAGATACCACTGAAAAACGGTGAATTAAAACATCGTGAGGAAACGTGGACTGAAGAAATCTAATTCATCATCATCATCAGCCTATAAGTGCCCACTGCTGAGCAAAGGTCTCTTCTTATACAGAGAAGGTTAGTGCATTAATCACCACGCTTCCTAAGCGGGTTGGCGATTTCAAAAAATCTAGTAAGAGTCGTGATAAATGACCAAACCTTCTCCGTTTGAGAAGAGGCCTTTGCTCATCAGTGGGCACTTAAAGGTTAATGATGTGATGCCATAAGTTTCATTTAACGTCAAGTCAATGATAACATACTTATTTTTTAATAATTCTACAGAAAGTTTTAAAATAACTTGACAGAGGAAACTACAGAATTATAATTTACAAGCATAACATTAAAATTTGATAAACAATGACTAGTACAATTATTTAGTTGGTATCTATACTAGTTATTCAGTGCCGTCGTAAAACATATTATTGATATGTTACCCTTTATTGTTTGTGTACCCTGGGTATGTAGACATACAACCTGTAGAATTATTATTATTAATAGACAAAGAACAAGAACTATTTTTTATTAGATATGGTACAAAACAAGTTTTTATTATTATGTTTTCGGCTTATTCACGTAATAATTTGACGAGACACTCGACTGGCGCTGCTACTGGTACGAAAGTCGCCGCGTCGCGTGTCGCGGAATGCTGCTCATGAATATGGGCCTCTAGCATGGCTTGAAACTAGTCGAGTATCGTCAAATTATTACGTGAGTAAGCCGAAAATATAATAATTAATTTAGAATGTCTCACGAAAGTTATAATATAAAAACAAGTTTTTCTTATTAAAATGTCAAAAAGATTCTGTATATTTCAATGACGTATTATATATAGACACGTCATGAACCAACATCGCGGCGCTTAAAAACGGCGAAAATACTAGATAAATACTTCTACGAGTAAAGAAAGGGAAAGAAAATATGACATCGTGTAGTGGAATGCCTTTGCTAGAGGGAGATAAATATACATCTTCAGTTATGCCGACGGCACGTGACCATACCTTCATTCGCCGGCCGCCATAAGATGGCGGGCGCCGGCGTCGGAAAAAATAAAATAAAAATAGGTTGTTTGGTGAACTTACGCATGAAATTACACATTTTTGTCTTTAACTTTTGGAGTATAATTTGTACATCGTCTGAACACACACAACGACATACTTTCTTTATGTTTGGCACAGGTTTCACACACGATATAAATTAAAAACAAACGTAGCGTCGCGCGGCAGGTTGGTGCGTAACTAAGCGCGATGTTGTCAATTGCCTTCATTTCATGTTGTCATTTTAGAGCGCGGACGACGTATCTATAGTTTTATACATCATTGGTATATTTGCATTTCTCTATATTTAGTCACTCTTATCAATATCCTTTTCGTGATTTGAATTTGAATTGAATGATTTGTTGAATTGCTTAGAAGCAGAATTCAAATTCAAATTAATGGTGTACTAAAAATTAGAGAGTCTAAGTAAACATTAATTCGTCTTGATTCCTAGATGGCAGTGTAGTGTAGAACATTGTATATACATTTATATTTATCCGTAGCTACTGTGGTAGTAAGTAAGTACTTTTAGGGTTGAAAATGCGTAAAGCGGACACCAGGCCCTTGTGTACCGAGATATTATAAGTATTATTATTTATTTGCCTTCGCCAGTCTCAGAAAATAAAACTAGGGCTACAGATTAGTTAGAAAAAGTCAACAAAACAACATTTACTGTATAAAGGCCGTGAAATTTACCTACCCCAGCGCCATCTACAACGATATAGATATTTCTCGAGTAGAAATAATTAAAAAAGGAACTTATAAATTCAAACTAAAACAGCACCTTATTCTTCAAGAGATACATATTCGCGTAAACATTTTTTTTACTTGACAACACTGGCACGTAAAACGCTCTGAACACTTGATGGGATTTTTTGGCGTCGAGTATGGTAACACTGGAGATGACCTCCCATGTGGAGGAGTCTTTATGGTAAGCGGGTTCAAGTGTGGATGGTCGACCGATGCTAGAGTCTACTAGATAGTGACATTCCTTAGGTTTTACATAAGTCCTGTTGTCCCCTTTATTAAGATCGTTGAAATGTGGGTGGATGAGTCTCGTTGCTGGAAATTAAAAGAAAAATAATAAATTAGGCTTTAAGTGCCATTTAAATAAAGGCGAGATAATTTGTCCAACACGAATCTTTCATATTAAGCCCATAACGGTGACTAAATGAAAGAACTCTCGCGTTAACTGACTCAGCCTATTTCAACTTGCTACTTCTCCACAATGGCCCCGCTGAACCGAGTCTTTAACTAGGCGGTATTTTTTATGAGGGGAAAATCATTAAATCTAACTGACTAAAAAACCCTAAGCTCCACAAGAAAAAACAAAAAAAAAATAATAGTACGGGGGAAAATTGAGGAAAATGAACCTTTCGTTGTAGGTTTCATAGTTGGACCCGATCAAAGAAGGGGGAAGGCGGCTAGTACAAAATAAATGTATGAGCCTCTTTAAAAGGTTACATATCTCATTTTTAGACAAGGTAAACTCACCGTTATGGCTATCCGCATAAGGTGCAGGCAGTTGTCCATTGAACTCGCTGGGTATGAACCTGACATTGTACCCTTCAGGTAGATGGAAGCTGGATGGGGAACGATGCCACTCCTTACCGAAGCAGACTGTTAGGTCTGCTTCTTCAGGAGCTTGGGGCAGGTCTCGGAGTATCCTCATAGGACCATGGTAGTTTGTATATAGAGCTGCTATGCGGGACAGACCTGCAATTGGAAATTTTAGCTTAGGGCTATTAAGTTATGGTTCGTTTTTAACTGTATCCTGTAAAATATATTTTTTAAGCGTTCCCCGACCCTAGGATTTTCTCCTGTGTCGTGGGTGCTTTTACAAACATACAATTTAACAAGCACATCACACCCAGACCCGGAACAACAATCTATGGATCTCACAAAGAGTTGTTCCGTGCGGGAATCGAACCCGCGACACGTTGCGCACCAGCCAGTTGCCCAGCCACCGCACCAACCGTGCTGTCAGAGATTGGCGCGCGCAAGGCTCGGAACCGGTTTAAAAAATACCGGTTAATACCGGTTTATTTCGGTTTATCTCCGAACTTTTCTTAAGAACGTAAACGTTTTAAGAACTTTATTTTAATCTAAATAAACCGGTTTATAGACGTACGACGTCGCTAAACGCGTTGCAACTTGTACGAATACCGCGCTGCCGCGCATAGCGGCGAGGTATGAAGACGTAGGTACTAGCGATATTTCTTTTCATTCGAAATATTTTGTTTACCGATTAGTTTGGTCATTATCAGCTTAACTTCACGAAAAAAAAATTAGATACTTACTCATTTTTTAATGTTTTTGCTGCGGAGCTTATTGATGCAATGACACAAACGTCCGATCCGAAACAAAAAAATCTTACTATTGAATAAAATCTAAACAGTACGCGGCATTTCTTTACAGTGCGTCCATATTAACCGGTTTTTATTGCTCTTAACCGTTTAATTCGAAAAAACCTTTATATTAATGCTCTTCCAAATAACGGTTTAAAAAAACCGGTAGATAAGAACGAAACCAAAATGTAAAGGTTTTGCGTCAAGTACATAATAACGGTTAGAAAATTTAACCGGTATCCGAGCCTTGGGCGCGCGAGATTAGCGCCACCTGGCAAGGAAAAACAACTGTATTGCTAACACTAGAAACATGTCATTGTATGCTATCGCTAAAATCTTCATTGTAATGCTCAAAGAATTCTAGTTCTATAGCAAATGTTAATAAGATAAAAAATCCTATATCAACAATACTGTAAAACACGTACCAGCCAATCCCGCAATGAGCACACACATGACCATTAGAGGGCCGGTGTAAGCGAGATAGTGTCGTCTCTCTCGCTCCCTCCTCCAGCGAAACAGTTCGGTGCCTACAGCGAACGTCAGCTTTTGTAGGCAGTCCAGGGCTATCGCGCCGGCTAGGATTATCATACTGTAGGCTGGGTAGAGGAATCTGGAAGTGGAACAATAATATATTGAAAAAAAAACATAATTTAATTGTCTTTATTAACTAAAAATCGCAGGTAACGCACGTGTATATATTGAGAAAAACTCAACTAGTTTCGAACCACAGAGAGAAGCTATTTTTTGTATTATACTGTACTCTCTTTTATAAGTATGTATTACTGTAATTGACTTTAAAAGTCGTATTTACATAGTAAATAAAGAAATAAATAAATTCGAATGATAAGTAAGCTAAGAGAATCAAAATCACGTTTGCCACCTATCACATAAAAGGGTTGGGTGCGTTTACAAAAATTGTGATCCCATGCGAGAATCAAACCAGCAACACGTTGCGCGGCAGCCAGTTGCCAAGCCACCGCGCCACAGCGCCAACCGACTTTCACTTTATGATAAGGACACGAACGCGATTCCTTGACGAATGTTTTAAATATTATAAAATGATATATGGCTGGTAATAAATTGTAGTATAAATAGTATAGTTTATATAAGCATACCTCTCTTCTTTATGGGGTTGTAACATGAAGACAGCCAACCATAGAACCAGGGGCAGTAGGTCGAGCCAGTAGGGGGCACAGAAGGCGGCCCGCGCCGTACTGCGCCCCGCCACCGCCGTGCAAGCCAGTAGAAACACTGGACATGAGAGGCATAGCACCTACAAAGAAAGAATACATAGTTAATAAAAAAGAAACTCGATTCGTTTGCAGTTAAGGTTGAATTTTCTATAACAAATTAATTTTGTTAGTTGTACAAAATAATACATAATTAATATATTGTATTATTTTGTTGCACTTTCGTATTTTGTTATTTGTTATACAAAATTCAACCTTAAGTGCAAACAAATCGATTTCCTTTTTTATACGTAAAATATATTAGGCACTAGCTTCCGCCCGCGTGATTATGTTGATAAAACGCAGCCTCTGTGTTAATTTGATCCAGGGATCACCTTAAGCAAATCGGTCCAGCAGTTTTCGCGTGAAAGAATAACAAACATACCTCCATACATTCTTTATCTATCTAAACTGACAAATAAAACTTTAACGGCATGGAAAATTCAGCTCAAATTCATACATTAAAAAAAGCCCAATATGAAATACGTCGTGGCGGCCCGAGTTGTGTTAAATACCAATGCGATCTGTTAAATACCAATGTTTTTCGAGTTATATGTACTTTCAATATTTATTTAGACACCACATGCATACAGTGAAGAAAAAAAACACCCTGGACATGTACTTAATGATTTCTTATTTAAATTTGAAATTGCCAATCCGCAGTGACCAAGTGTTGTAATTAATGCTCAAACCTCCTCGGGAGAAGAGAGCCTTTGCTCAGCAGTGGGCACTTATAGGCTGATTATAATGATGGTGATGATGATGATGAAGAAGAAAAAAAAGCAACTCACCCAAACGATATTGAAGTTCAAGAATCCGTTAACAAAATAATAAGTCCATGGCTCCACTCCGTACAAATCAGGTCCGTGTTCAGTCAATATATTGTAGGCAACTATATTCCATGGAGCGACCACCAATCTCCCATAGTGCCACGAATCAACTAAGACAGTTGGCACTATTATAACTATTAAGGATATCACGGACCATTTTATAAAGTCAATTATTTGTCTCTTCATTATAATCATGTCAATGGCTATTGGTATGCCTAATAAAGCTGTGAACGGCCAACCTGTAAAGGTAAATCAGTCTTATAAGGTAGATAATAAAAATGATTTTTGAGTGATCACATTTGGGATAGTTCTAAATTTAATTTAGAGGCCCAATTCTAACACCCATCCTCAAAATCCTTAAATAAATACCTTATACCCTATCTTTAGATCCCTAAAAACTCAACGGCCGACACATAGGCCGACAACGCACTTGTAGTAACTCCTTTAATACTACCGATTGCTTACCATCAGGTAATCCGCCTGCTCGTTTACCGACCAATAATATAAAATAAGTACTTACTAAGCAAAGCAGAGACGGCAGTTAAGAATATAGCAGTAGGGTATCTTCGTCGCCACCAGCAAGCGAGGGCAGCACTGGCGAGGGCGGCGCTCCACGCGGAGGGCAACATGGCAGCGCTGCATGCAAACATGCCCGCTGCGGGCAATGTCATGCCCAACCATACTCTACCTACGTGAACACCGAACTCATGGCATATAGCTCTGTGAAAGGAAATTTGTTATCTGTGAAAAATTTAACATCCTTTACATAGTTAACTAGCGAGCGGTTAAAGATTAAATATGAAAGGAAAATGGCTGCTTCAATGTAGTCATACGTTAAATTTACGATTTCGAGATGAATTTAACGTTTTAACAGAATACGAAATGTACAGAAGACAAGATACAGGCCTTAGTCTAGTTTGGGGCTAATGATAATATTAATAAATTGTAGTATTTTCGAAACAAAATTTCATTTTTGTCAACATTCAAACTTTTAACGGTTTTTGACGTTTTCCCAGCTACTTTGCCCCCATTTCTCCATAGCATTTTCTCCTGTGTCGTTCGGCTTACAAACATAAAATGTGGACAATATGAAGACATTTTCTGTGCGAGAATGGAAACTCAAATATTCGCAGTTGTTATTTTTAACTATTTATTCATCGTGTGTGCATGCATGCATTCTAGTCTTGTGGTAGCCCAGAGGTTAAGGTGCCCGCTTCTCATGCATGAGGGTGTGGGTTCGAAACCTGGCAAGTACCAGTTTGACTTTTTCCAAGTTATATGTACTTTCTATGATTATTTAGACACCACTGACATACCGTGAAGATAAACATCGTGAGGAAACCTGGACTTATAATTTCTAATTATAAGTTTGAAATTGCCAACCCGCATTGAGCAAGCGTGATGATTAATGATATAACCTTCTCCGTATGAGAAGAGGCCTTTGCTCAGCAGTGGGCACTTATAAGCTGATGATGATGATAAAACGTAAACGCGCATCTATTGTGTCTAAAATTAGCATGATTGAAATATTAATGGCAAATCGTTCGCTACCGTAGGTCCACAGTGGCGGTTTAGGTGTCGGTATACGTGTTAAATAAAAAAAAACTTACTTGTAAAACATAAGCTCAGCGCAAGCAGAGAGCACAGCCAACACAATCCGTAGAGCATAGAATACGGACACGGGACTCATGAACCAAGACAGTATCTTGGCAGGTACCGCAAACAACCATAGTGGCGTATACGATCGTATCGCATAGTCTGGACTGTATTCCCAGGTTTGAAGACCACTGCCGTACACTGGAAATAATAATAACTTATTTTTTACAAAATATCTGTGAGCCATGCCTCGGAATAAAAAGGGATGCTCGATAAGAGTGACACCGCTGCCTCACAGAAACCAGTCTGAAAAATCAATGCTTGTGTCCTCTTCACATTTATTCTTATGTGTGAGGTTACCAGAGGGATTTCTCATTCACTTTAATTCTTAAAATAACTATGTGTATAGTAACTATTGTCAAAAACACTAAATTAATCGAAAATAAGGAATTACTCACGTACGCAACGTCGCATAGCCTACAACTTATTTATAAGGGTCCCATTGTGACTTGTAACTATTAGTGCTTTCATCAGTTAATTCACGTGAGTCAGATGTTTATTTCAATAAAAATAATATTCATAAGAAAGACAGCTAAAAATCTTACCTAAATAATGTAATGGCTCCCAGTAATTATAAGTCTCATCACAATCAGCAATGTGTCCCCAGTATGCGGACACAATACGGGCAGTTAGCAGCAGTCCGAGTGCTACCGCACCACCTGGGTATGCTATACTCCGCAGGTCAGATGGAGCATTTGTTACTAGGAACTCCCTGAAATATATTAAAAGGAAGAATTGTTACAAATTCTGGAATATTTAAATGAATTTTACAAGATGCCAATGAATGTAGATATATTATTTTATAATATACCTATTGTGTACTGTCTATGTATTTTTGAGTAAATAAAACACGCTAGGTAGCATTTGTCATGTAATGACATGTATGAAGTACCCACATAAAAACACCAATTCTCAATGCTCTACTTGAAGTGTATGAAATTATTTAAATAAGTGATTTTATTAGATTTTGATGCAATAAATTTTAATTTTAATTTTTAAATTGGTATTGTTCTTGTGTATACAGAATTTTAATAATATAATTTCAATGTGTTTATTAAAATAATCTATAGTATTATAAATAATATAAAGCTGAAGTGTGTTTAACTGAACATTTTTTTTTTTTTTGTTTGAATAGTCAATTTATCAAGGATGGCTACAGACTATAAAACATCAGAACACAAACCATAAGAACCGCATGGGAGTAACTAATAATATTCATACATGAACAATTATGGTAACATAACATTATACCCTTTCTGTACAGGAGCAGAGGTGCACATTTACAATAAAATACTTTATACTAAGAGTCCTGTGTAATTATTTGCTATGTTACACAAATAAATAAGTATGTGACAGAAAATAAATGAAACAGCTGGATAACACAAATTCATAGTGAATAACATTCTCATTCAAATCCTATTAGAAAAATGTTAACTTATGTATGGATTAGTAATTACTTCATTTAGTACCTCATTAGTAATAAGATTGGCGCATTTCTAGTGGCTCTATATTAGATTGGCGTTGACTAATGTATATAGTATTAAAAAAATAGCACTTCAGTCAAAAATAGTTTTTGTTAGTTCAGCATCATGCTTAATTAACGTCAGCAGACGGTTTTTACCTTTGTTTGAGTACGGAAACGTCTGGATAAGCGCCAAAGTGTAGCACCAGCAACAAATTAGAGCATTGATGAGCCAAAATAAAAATTATTATAACCTATAAATGATGCCAAGTGTTTTTATACCGCGAAACAGTAAGCAAAGTTTAGAATTTAATAATAGACATTAATGAAGCGTGATATAATAATAGCTAAAGGGCTTAGCTACATACCCTTCGTTCGCTTTTCGCTTTCCTTTGCTAAAACTAGTCGCCCTTTTAGCTCCATTTTTATTGTGAATACTCCGTTGTCTTGCCGTCAGAGGCATATTTGAGTATTTTGCTGTCTAAAGCATGAAATCCACTACAACGTTTAAGAAACGTAGAGAATATGTGTAAATGGGAATTTATTTTCAGAAAGAAGTTTGCGTACAATATCTCCGCAAACCTAAAAACGACACTGACGTAGTGATTGACAATATGAATGATCTAACGATTTGACATTGACATTGGAAGAGCGTTTACGAAGACTATTAGAAAACCGAGAACCAAAAATCAAAATAAAATAAAAAAGGTTGATGTTTGTTTGTTGCATTACCATAATGTCGCCACATTATTGGTAATACACAAACTGCAAATTTATGTAAAAGCATTATGGCAGTAAAGAAAATCATTTTGAAAGGTATTATAATAGTAAGCCCTCCCTCGATCTTACAAACAGATGTTCCTGGAGTTGAAAAAATACATTAAAATAAAACCGTTTAATTAATGTCTAATCATCGCTTGTAAAATTAAATGATAAGCCTCTTTTGCATCATTAAATGTCGGTACTTTTATAATCGACTTCAAAAAATAATTTTTAACAAAAATATTCTGACTTCAAAAAGTAAACTAAAAAGAAAAAAAATAAATTTTCTTTGTAGAAATTAATATTTGTTTTCATTTAGTTTAATCTTGAAGTCGGTGCCAAGTGAATCATCAAAATCATACCAAACAACCACAGTATTAGAAAAATATATTGATCGGTACCTCCTAATCATCAAACCAACAATAGGTACTTACGTAGGTAATATTACAATACACACTATTATCTCTAGTACCTTATATTATAGAATTCCTAGTACCTGGAACTCTCATATTATGTTTATATGTGCCCGAGCGTACGGCGCGTAGCGTTCCGCGCGCGCCTCAAAGTGCCATTAGACCACCACAGACGGGGCCCTAAAGGGATGATGTTCAGCCGGGATTGCGGGGTAAGCGCAATGAGGCACCGGGACCTCGGCACAGAGCAGGAGTCTGACACTCCCTCCCGCCCGGCCATGGGCGGGAGAAGTAATTTGATGATTTTCACCTCACAAAAAAAAAATGTTTATATGTACGATCTTGCCGCAACGGGCGGCTGACCGGTACCACCGCAAACGCTACGTCCCGCAATTTTTATATCTGCCATAATATCTAATATCTTCGAAAATATTCACTTAAATCATACGGTGTAAATGGCCATATAGATCTATATTAAATGAACAATGTATTCAAGGTATTTAAATGGTTAAGGATTAATGCTGTATTGGTTGAAATCGCTTCGAAAATTAGCCATTATTTGTCGTAAAAAGTACATAAATGACAAAAAAAAGTTATTGTGGGTTATCCATAAGAGATAGACATATACCATCACGGACTTTTCTGTAGACCTTTTCAATGAGTGCATTATTTTGATAAAACTCGTAGGGTTCAGCCTTTTTTTTTTTTTGTGAGGGGAAAATCATCAAGTGACTTCTCCCGCCCAGGGTCAGGCGGGAGGGAGTGTCAGACTCTTACTGACTAAAAACCCCCCTGTTCCTACTCCTGCTCTAGGCCGAGGTCGCGGTGCCTCATTGCGCTTACCCCGCAACCCCGGCTGAACATCAGCCCTATAGGGCCCCGTCTGTGGTGGTCTATTGGCTCTTCGAGGCACGCGCGGAACGCTACGCGCCGTACGCTCGGGTCTGGTTCTGGTCGGGCGGCGAGCTACCCTTACTCGTCGTCCGCAGACCCGCGCTTACGGTGACCGGAGATCATCTCTCGATCCCCGACGCCCGGAATGTCGCCTTCTGCAGCGGACAATACTTAGTACATTATTTTGATAAAACTCGTAGGGTTCAGCCTGCGTTTGCAATGTAAGAGGAAAAAAAATAGTTATTTACGACATCACATTAGAAATCTCAAAAATAACAGTACTCCTCCACTATTTAATTGATGTTATTATACATATAAACCTTCCTCTTGAATCACTCTATCTATTAAAGAAAACCGCATCAAAATCCGTTGCGTAGTTTCAAAGATTTAAGCATACAAAGCGACATAGGGACAGAAAAAGCAATTTTGTTTTATACCTACTATGTAGTGATAACCTGTGTTTATCATCATTAGGTCGCAAAGGAATAAAACAATTACATCAACATTTATATACATATTTATTTATGTATGTATTTAATAAGTAGTTAAAAATATAAATACTTTAAATACAGTGTTGGTACAACACACTTGTCATACATTCTTTCTACAAAGGTTACACTTACCTAAGTAGCAGATTTTTTATATGTACTTCCTATAAGTACTGGGGAAATACCACAGAGTTGACAGCAAATGGAGTACTTACGAAAACAGAAAGAGAACAATATCATGTTTAATTTGTTTTGAATTCAGCTCGTTAAGTTTCTGAGAGCATAACAATTTTAAAGGGATTTAGCTAATCAATAAATTAATTGAGCAAAATGTATCTGAAAGTTACTGTAATTTAAAATATAAATAATAAATTTAAAGTAATTTTAATGCTATCAACTCTTTGGTATTAAACTATTACATGCAAAAATATATACATATGTATGTTCTGAGCATTCTTAAATAATTTAATTAAAAACTGACAAAAATATTGATCAAAATATTTTTTCCTCACAATATCTGCGTATATTTCATAGGTTTTTACTTATGGAGGATTCTGTTGATATATTTAAATATAAGGGCCCTATGAATCGAGTTGATTTGATACTAATTATCGATACAGGTACTTACAACAGCACTCAGATCAATGAATTAAGAGAGGCATTTAAGCTCCCATGCAAGTCGCATGCCCGCTGCGAAACCATTCCTTAAGTGATGTGTTTTATTAGTAATATAATTACTAATACAACAGATCACAACCATTTTCGAGTATCAAACCAACCCAATTAAATGTATTTACTTATACATAGAAAGCTATATGATTTGTTAAAACCATTCAACAATTATAGCTGTTGACATTTGAGCTGCTTATAATGTTTGTGCTGCTAAACCCATACACTGTGAGATAAAACCTTAAATAAATCTACCTTTATACTGTAGTTTCTATTTGTTAGTATTAAAAAGATACATAGTCAGAAAACTACATTGTGCATCTTATAACAAATGAAATAGAAATTAAAATTGTGTAACCTTTAAATTTGTTCTAGTGAATTAGATATGTTTTCAATTATAAGAAGCTCAAATGTAAACAAAATTATCCCTATAAAATAAAACATTTTTTTTAATTTCTTCTCCTGGATCTGACTACTGTCCACCCAGGGTCAACATCTTCATCCATTGGCTCTGGCTCTTGTCTTGGTTTAGATGATGAGGCTGCTGCCCCATTCATATTATTGTCAGGCACATCATCATCATCATCATCACTACTGCATGTTGAGTCATCATCAGGGTTTCCATGGCACTGGAAAACCATATTGTTCATTAATGAAAAAAAAATGTAGGTCAGAAATTTCATTAGAACAGACAATTGTTTTTCAATTCGGATCACCACTTTAGAGTATTTTATTTTCCAATTCAAATTAAATGTATTTATAGATGGTTACAAATTATGTTATGTACCTACATACAAGACTAACATTGTGTTAATTAAATAATAAAAACTCTTTTTAAACATTTAATAAAATTAATTGAGTGTATTCTCCATTAGTTGCATACTCCATGGTACAGTAGTTTTTAATAATTTATTATTATTTTTTTTACTTACTTGTGGTGGCACTGATTCATGTATTGGCTGGCTCAACCATTTTTGACATTTGGGCATTGCATCTAGCCTGGCTCGAAGTTCATCATGTCGACCTTCTTTGAGCAGAGTGAGAAACTGTAGTAGAAGAACTGCTACTTCTGTAAATGATGCAATTATTAATTGATTAAAATAATATGCAACACTGGGTTACAATGGTAAGAATTGTAATCTGTGGTGCCTAGTGAGTTTTCCAAGTGGTAACTATTATTGTAATTTTTTATTTAAAAAATCTTTGTATGTATTAAAAATAACAAGTTTACATTAATTTATAATCGAGTTGTGTTCAGATTTTGCACTTATTATATGTATAAGTTGGCCAGATCTCGGAAACCAATTTCTTAAAAAATACAACTGCAAGTAAAACTGATCTTTAAAAACAACATGGTTAAGCGTACCTTTGGGTGAATCATCATGACAGACAGTCTCAAATTCCTCGTCCATCAAGTCTTCAATCACTTCGACAAGTTCATCTCTGTCTACCACGTTCTCAACACAATATCTTGCTATGTACACTGCCATTAGTTGTGCAGTCTGAAAAGTATAAATGAACAATTTGAGTGCAACAGATTTATTTAAATGAATACATTTTTTTTATGTTCTAAGATGGCAAACAAGACTCTTGATTACCAGATGGTAAGCAATCAGCACTGCCCATGGACACCAACAGGTTATAAGCGGTTATGAGTGTGTTGGCAACCTTTTGGGATTAGGAATTGTGAGATTTTGGGAACATTGATATTTAATTTCTTTAGAGAATTAATTTAGATTACCAGACCCCAAATGTACTGTTTAAAAAAAAAAAGATAATAAGTATGCAAATGTTACCTACTCTAAAAAAAAACTACATGGTTTAAAATAAAATGTGGTGTGTATATAGATACTTATAATAATGTGGAATTCCATATGGGCTACTAAATTCCACCACTGTTTTAGCTTTTGCAAGTTATAGATTATGCAAACACATGGAATTCAAAATATTTACTATTAAGGGTTAAACATTGATAGGTTCTTGGCTGTGTGCAGTTGTATTGGTTGGGTTTCATAAACTTTATAACAGTTTAGACATAGCAGATTTTATATCAATGATTGTTTATAAATATGGTGTCTTCCATCAAGTAATTTTTATCTCATAATACAATGTACGTATTATCATATTGCTAATTAATTGGTTGTATATATAAACAAAATTGTTATAAAAAAGATACAGGTATAGCACTAGTTATTTTTAAATCAAATATGTAAGTACTGGTGTGCTAGTGATCAAAGATATCCTACTTATTCCCTTTAGGCAAAGATTATCTGTGATTTCTTTGAACACATGCCTGATAAAATATCACAATTTTTATTATTTACTTGTTCTTACCTTTTCACCCCCTGGTGCACCCATTCCATGTTCGACAGCAAGTTGTAGCGCTGTCCAGTTGTTCAATACTAAGTCCACGATGGGCTTAAAATCGTCGTACAACATTATCGCGTTTTATTTTTCACTTTAAGTTATTAATTACTTTGAGATAGATAATTCTCACATTTTTATAACCTCTTCGAGGTGCAACTTTTTTATCGATTAAACATGAACGAATGAATGGGAGTAGAACACATTTATTTGACATTTTATTTAACGTCCGGAAACATGCAAGGTTTTGTTTTTAATTTTTATGCACTATTTTTAAAGGTAGGAGCTTAATTTAAATTTTAAATTTGCATAAGCTCAATAGTTATTCAATCATCATCATTTTTGTGTACAGAAATGATCATCAAAATGTTATTAAACAGTTCTTGAGACTTTGAGTCGTTTTAGAACGAAATCAACAAAAGGCGGTAAACTTGTAATTCAACTGTCAGTTTTGTCGTTCCTTGAAACCAATCATTCGGTCAATCTTTCAAAAATTTGTAAACAAATCACATTGAGAGGTTAAAAGCTAATTTTCATGAAAAGTATGTTATTTGCGTATAAATTGATGTGTTGTTAGACTTTTTAAAGAGGATATTGTGCTAAATATGGCTGAGGATATAAGTGTAACGTTTATTATACCGAAAGATTGCCGATCTGAAAATGAATGTTCTGAAGACATGCAACTTGCCTTTCTCGTGAGTTTTTCCTTTGTAAATACTAAAACAACTATAATTTTTTTATTGTCAATATACTGTAATTATGTACTACCCTAGAACAGACGATACAATCATTATTTGGATTAAATTAAACAGGAGTACACCGTCAATAGGTAATGGTTTGATGACGTTCCTTTTTTAGTAAAACGGATTCATTACTTCGTTATCGAAGTTTTAAAGGTTTTATTTATACAATATCTATACGAAATGAGATTTATTTAGACCGAGATGTCACATATATTTGTATACCATGATAAAATTTGTGAAACTATTAACCTAAGTATTTGTTGTAGTTTGTTATCTACTTACGTGTATATCTTATTAAAACAATGTTTAATTTTCTATCATTTTAGACTTGTGAACAGCATTGTGGTGGTGGTTTGAAAGCACAATGGGTGCATGAGAGCAAATGGACAAAGTTTGAAGGGCTCACAAAGAGAGATGTGTTTGTTCTAACAGAGTTTGAAGGAGCACTCTATGAAAAATTGCAGGCCACTAAGTGTTTGTAAGTATATAAACATTATTTAATGCTTAGTACTTGAATTGAATTACTTCACAGTACATAGTTATGAATTTATCATGGTTATAATGAGTTTCAAGATATTTTTTCTTTGAAAGACCCTAGATATTTTATTTATTGACTGTATATTCAAGGTTTTGGGTCTTAATGAGTTCGATATGAGTCCCCAAATTGACTTACAGCCAGTCTCAATAAGTTTTAATATATCTAATATTCTATCTTTTGTAATAAAACCTATTAACAGATGAATCACAATGACTATAAATGTGACAGAATAGTCTAAAATGTCCAATTTTATTAAACAATTGTACAGATAAAGTCAGGCTTTATGTCACACAGAATAAAATTATTTCACCCATTTTTATTACTAAAGTTTCAAAAACATTCTCTTCCAGATTAGTTGGTCCTCGTTGCTTATCATGCTGCCTCACAGAAGGTACTCCAATACCTTCGGGACCGGAGCCTGTCTTCACAATAGCCATGAGAGGTTTGACTATTACTGCAAGTGGATTGTCAAAACACAGAAGGTAACTTTAATGTTATTGTGAGGTGGAACTACATTTTACTATTGAAGATAATTATTATAGGCACTTTTGAATGTCAAACAAAATATTGGAGATATAGTGTCAGTCCTCTTAGTCAAGCTATTTGCTTGTTCCAAAGTGTAGATTTCTATGCAGAAGAACAAGCAAGAAACTGCATGGTTATTCTTTTTAAATCAGTTTCACATATACTAGATTCCTTTTACAAACAGTTGGTTCAATTATGTGAGAACAATGTCACCTGATGGTAAGCAGTGATAAGGGTATGCAATCATTGATGGTAAGACACACCCATTTATTAAGAGCCTCAATACTTATATACATAATATCAAATCTCTAAAAGCTGCAACATAAGTCCTAAAAAATAAGTCTTACATTGATTTAAAAAAGTTGCTGTATGACTTCACTTATAGGTACATACTTAATTATCATAGTGATAAACAAATAAGACCAATACTGCACTCACTTTTTAATTTTAATTAACCTTCTCTAAGTATAGTATGGTTTTAAAAGTATGTGTAATATGTGAGATACTTTTTGATTGTTTTTTTTGAGAAGTAAATGCCACTAAGCCACCTATTATCTATCCTATTGCTTCTCCAACATCAAGCTAGAGGCGAAGGCACACTATAATGTTTGCACCTGCAATCCTAGCTGGCTATTTTATTACCCAACTCTTCCGTAACTCATTTAACACTTTCTGTACATATTTTATGAACATTTTCAGGAAGAAGTAAAGAAAAAGGTACATTGGATGGGTGGTATATACAGCACTGTTCTTACAGATGACACTACGCACTTGATATCCGACACAGTGCTCTCTGATAAGTATATTGTAAGTATATAATTTATAAACTAACTAGCTATTCCCGCGCTGTTTCACTCGCTGCTCGGCTCATGTGATTGTAGCGTGATGTTTTATAGCCTATAGCACTCGGGAACATTGTAGCTATGTATTAGTGAAAGAATTTTGGGAATCCGATAAGTGGTTCCAAAGATTACCCCCTACATACAAACCTACAAATTTTACCTCTTTATAATATTAGTATAGAAGGCCTAATTAATTTTTTTATCTGTACAATGAGGTTGACATATTTAATTGTTACTGGATAAAAACTCCTTATATAAAAATAAAGATTTAAAAAGACCTGTGTCTCGGCCACATGTCAATACTGTAAAGCGTACATGGTGCCAGCACAGAATCTTTCCCTTCTATAATATTAGTAAAGATTCACTTATAATTGAGTAGTTTCCTAGGTCAAAATTTAATTATTTTGAATTTTCAGTATATAATAATATCAAGGTAATTATGACGTCATATGTTGCGATTTCATACAAAGTTCATAGGAAAGTATTGTTTTTGACATTTCAATAAAAGTATAGGAATTGACTAATTGGAAACTACTGCATTACTCTTATTATTAATTAATATTAATTATTTTTCGCTACAGATATAATTATCTTTTAGTAAATCATTAAACATTAACAGTAACACAACAACCAAACTTTTTACAGAAATCAGTGGAAAAGGGGATCCCTGTAATGGCTGTAACTTGGATCCAAGCTGTTTGGGAGGCATCCCTCCAGCAGAATATAAGTGCCTCTTCATCAGAGTTCCTCGTCCATCGTCTGCCACCATTCAACAACCTTCAGGTGACCACATCAGGGATTCCGAAGAAGGATAAACAGTTAATCATGAAGCTGGTTAATGAACATGGAGGACAGTTCTCAGGGGCGTTCCAGAGTGAAACTACTGATGTTGTTGTGTTGACCAAGTTAGTATATTACAGACTAGCTAGTCTCGCGTGGTTTCACCCGCTGCTCAGTTCCATTTATTTATCGTAGCGTGATGTTTTTTGGCCAATAGCACTCAGGAACATTTTAGCTATCATATATACTACTATACCATATATACAAACCTACAAATTTTACCTCTATATAATATTAGTATAGATAATATAGACATATAGGGTGACTGGTAATTAGTGACCAATATTTAAGCATGTGATTGTACTCATGATAACAAACAACTTTCCTAAAGAAACTTTTTTTCTATATGCAATAGTTTTATTTTTATTAGGTACTTACTAGCTAATCTCGCGCAGTTTCACCCGCTGCTCAGCTCCGTTTGATCGTAGTGTAATGTTTTATAGCCTATAGCACTCAGGAACATTGTAAATATCTCCCAGTGAAAGAATTTTGGCAATCCGACCAGCGGTTCCAAAAATTACCCCATTCATACAAACTTACAAACTTACAATTGTGCAAAGTTCAATAGCGGTCGCGCGGTACCTTGCCGCTGACAGCTGAACGGGGTATGCACGTAGGGCACCGCGAAAACAAAACTAATGAGTGCCTATAGAAAAAAAGTTTCTTTGGAAAAGTTGTTTGTAATCATGAGTACAATCACGTGTTTAAATATCAGTCACTAATTACCAGTTAGACTGCACGGTTGTTTTTCCGGGTCTGGGTGTGATGTGTATGTGGATTTGTATGTTTGTAAACACATCCGCAACACAGAAAAATCCTAGTGTGGTTATTAAAAAAAAAAATAACCTATATACATCTTAACTTATAAAAATCAAATTTTAGTTTCTGTTTGTTACATTGGTATAACCAATTTTTATTACATGCTTTTATATAAATATACATAGTACATACACAAAAATAACACTTATTACAATGATTCTTGTAATGTCTGTTCGCCTGTTCTGGCTAACCTTATAAACGGCTGGACCGATTTTGACGGGACATTTATTATACACTATTTAATCCTAGGGAAGGTGTGGGCAGTGAGAAATACAAAGCTGCTCTAGAATACGGGAAAGCGGTTGTTCTACCGTCGTGGGTGAAGGATTCAGCGGCCAAAGGAGTAGCGCTTCCCTTAGCTAAGTATAGAGTCGCAGGAGCATCTACCTCGTCACCCCTCGCTGAATCCCGGCTGCCAGACATGAGTGAGTTTTTTAATCTTTATATTTATGCTGTACGTGTGTATGTCAAAAGTCGAAGTCAAAGTCAAAATCATTTATTTCAATTAGATCACAGTAGGCACTTTTGAACGTTAAGCAAAAAAAGGAAAAAAATATTTCAAGAGCTTTAACATTAAGCGTGTCAGTATGTCCGTCTGTCCTCTAGTGAAGCTATTTGCTTGTTCCAAAGCGTTTGTCATTGTCTCCTACACTCCTATGTGGCGCTGATTGCTTGAAAAAGCGTGTGATCTCGGAAACAGTCCTTAAGATTTCGGTTATATGTGGGGGGAGGCTCCGCTAGTATAATGTAAATCAATATATGCTTCAATAGTAAGTTATGATAACGGTTCTTAAGTCTACGGTTGACACGGTGGCTGGGCAACTGGCTACCGTGCAACGTGTCGTAGGTTGGGCTCTTTGTGTGATCCACAAATTATTGTTCCATGTTTGGGTGTGATGTGTATGTGTGAAATAGTGACACCCACGATATTGGAGCAAATGCTAGTATGGGACAACGTTTATAACAATATACTTATAAAAAAGCCTTTGAAAACTTACTTCTTCTTACTAATATTATAAATGTGAAAATTACGACGTTTGGATGTTTGGATGCTTGTTACTCAATCACGCCAAAACGGCTGGACAGATCTGTATGAAATTTGGCAAAGGCTAAGGATACACTCCGGAATAGGCCACATAGGCTACTTTTTATCAATACATCATGCGGTCGTAAGCTAGTTTTTTATATATGTAGGTCGGCAAACGGCACCCGTAATATCATGAGATATCGAGTAAAGAAAAAAGCCGTCGTCGACCTTTTGTGGGTTGTTAGGGATTTACCATCTTTTGCCTTTTCGTCTTTGTCTAATAACATTCATATAATGTGATACAATTAAAATAATATATTTTGTCTGTACAAACGCATAATTTTAAGAATGTTGGTTAGCTCGTAACTGGCTAATATGTAAGACCTACCTATAACAAATAAGCTGTGAGCCTACCTTATCATAATACATAAATAAATAAATAGCATAACTCTTTTACAGGTTTAAACTTTTCCCGCATCACGAATGTGAGGCCGCCGAGCAATTTTGTGGATGAAACGCGGTCCGCAGACGCAACCTTGTTATCTGGTAAAATGAAGGTAAGAATTTACCTAATTGTCGGTCATCATCATCATCATCAGCCTGTTGTCGTCCACTGCTGGACATAGGCCTCCCCAATTGCACGCCACTGAGCTCGATGTTCAGCTCTTCTCATCCAACCACTTAATAATAAACACTAATTCTCGGTAATGTTTAAAAATGTATAAGGTTGAGGGGGCACTTGAGTCGCTTAAATGGTATTTATTTGTACAATATGAAAATGTCCAAAATCATATTTTTGATGTCCTTCCTATAAGTGCTAATATTATAAAGTTAGGTGTGTTTGCGCGGTAATCTCCTGAACAACTGGTCCGATTATGAAAATTTGTTTGTTGGATAGTTTTCTGATTGATAAATTGGGTAAAAAATATCACGTGCTGCGATAAATAGAAGCCGGCACGCGGGTAAACTCGCTAACTTAAGATAAAAGTTAAATCGAGTAAAGAAAAAAGTGTGGGAGTGCCATGCTTCGGCACGAATGGGTCGGCTCGACCGGAGTGATACCACGGCCTCACATAAAACCGGCGTGAAACAACCACAGCGTTGTGTTTCGCCGTGTGAGTGAGGTTACCGGAGGCCCAATCCTTCCCCTCCCCCAATACCTCTTCAATCCCCAAATCTCCAAATCCCTAATCCCTAAAAGGTCGGCAACGCACTCGTAACTCCTCCGTTGTGGGTGTCCATGGGCGGCTGATTGCTTACCGTCAGGTAATCCGTGTGCTCGTTTGCCGACCTACTTCATAAAAAAAGACTAGTTATAAGCTAGTCTACGGACCCACTATACGGGCTAACTATAAGCTTAAGTGTGGGAACTTAAGTGTGGGAGAGCCATGCTTCGGCACGAATGGGTCGGCTCGACCGGAGTGATACCACGGCCTCACAGAAAACCGGCGTGAAACAACCACAGTCTTGTGTTTCGCCGTGTGAGTGAGGTTACCGGAGGCCCAATCCTTCCCCTTCCCAATCCCTCCCCAGTTCCTAAATCTCCAAATCCCTAATCCCTAAAAGGTCGGCAATGCACTCGTAACTCCTCCGTTGCGGGTGTCCATGGGCGGCGCTGATTGCTTACCATCAGGTAATCCGTCTGCTCGTTTGCCGACCTATTACATATAAAAAAAAAAGCAATGTCTACAATTACCAGTCTGTACAGCGCAACCAAATCGATTACTTAGTTAGGAACAATACAATTCATGAATTTATTAATTACTAGCTACACTTGCGCGGTTTCACTCGCTGCTGGGCTCCATTTAATCGTAGCGTGATATTTTATAGCATATAGCACTCAGGAACATTGTAGCTGTCATCAGTGAAAGAATTTTGGGAATCTTACATACAAATTTACAAATGTGACCTCTTTATAATATTAGTATAGATAGTTTATTTCATCTTACAATTATATTTTCATTTTAAATTTTAGTTCACACAAGACATGAAGAAGAATGACACTTCAATAGACAAGGAGATAGCGATGGCGTTTGAAAGTTTCGACATGAATCTCATCAAGAAGGCTGGACCTATCTTCGATGGATTCTGTGTAAGTTATTATTATTAATTAGTTTTATACAAATACAAAAAAAAAAATTTTTGCTTGTATTATACACTATCGTTGTTATCCCCGGTACCTGAAAACAGATAGAGACAAAAAATACGTGTTTTTTTTTAAAAAAAAAAAACGTTTCCTCTCACTAGGATTTTCTTCTGTGTTGTTAGTGCGTTTACAAACATTCAATTTCCCATACACATGACACCCAGACCCGAAACAACAACTTGTGGATCACATAAAGTGTTGTTCTGTGCGGGAATCGAACCCGCGACAAGTTGCATGGCAGCCAGTTGCCTAGTCACCGGACCAACCGTGCAGTCAATATGTCCCTACCTTTATATCATATGGGGCTAAACGACCATACGTATTATCTGATGGTAAGCAATCAGCGTCGCCCAATGGACACTTGCATGATCAGAGGAGTTACTAGCTTTTTGTATGTGAAATTGTATGTTTGTAAATGCACCCATGACACTGGAGAAAATGCTAGGGTAGGGCTACGTCTTTAAAAAAAATTACGTATGTATGTAGGTGATTATCGTCTGGAATAATGACACATAGCTTACTTTTCTACCCAAAATTGCAGATAGTAATTAGTATGTCATAATAATTAATAAAATATGTTATTTCTGTCGGTGTATAGATCTGGGTGTGTGGGCTGGAAGGTGTGTCCCGCGAGCGTTGTGTGGCGCTAGTGTCGCGGTGCGGCGGGGTGCGGTACGACGCGGCGCACCCGCGGGTGACGCACGCCGTGTGCCCGGCGGGGGCCGCGGCCGGGGCGCGCGCCGCGCTGCCCGCCGTGCCCGTACTCTCGCCGCTCTGGTTGCTGCGCAGCGTCGAGGCTGGACGCGCCCTCGATGAGGGTCCGGTGAGGACTCTATGTTGATTTAAGCATTATTTAAGCTAAGTGTGGGAGAGCCAAGCTTCGCCACGAATGGGTCGGCTCGACCGGAGTTATACCACGGCCTCACAGAGTGAGGTGAGTGAGGTTATGCAGTGGATATAAATACTTTTTACCATTACGCAAAATTACGCATTAATAAAATTCTTACATTGTGTTTTACATAGACATAATTGTTACTCCAGGTTTGAATGTCATATGTTTGTGAAATAGTCGAATCGACGAAAAAGAAAATCGTTATGTGAAGAGATGTTTAAAAAAAGACTTGAAATTTTGCCCTATTTCAATAAATCTCAGGTTGTCGTCAATACTATATTTTTTTTCGTAACGCGTAACTATTGGGCGAGGTTACTCGACTTGTTTCAAGACACTACAGAGCTCATACAATCACACACTGAGTTAAGTATATAACATAACTAATTATTTCTAATTCGTAACTAATAATCCCATATTTCTCATAGTTCTTATTAGAAGACAAGCCCAGCACGCCGGCCAAATCTAGCGCCCGCAAGCCCCGGCTAGAGCCCGCGTCGCCCATGAGCAAGCGTAACCTCGCCCTCCTGCGCCGGGGCCCGCTAGACCTGCCCCCACCCACACCTGAAGTGGAAGAGCCTCAAGATGAACTTGTCAACCATTATCTTAGCCGTAAGTATTGTATAATATTTTACTTTAACACACTTCCTAATAAAGTGGCTCTAATCCCACGGCAATTAGGCACGTAATGACACCTATAATCAAACTGTGACTTTTTCAGTAGTGATTAATAGTTTTTTTTTATTTTTTTCGTTGAGTTACGCTTACACTTGCGCTTAAATGCTATCCGCTAAAACCACAAAAAAATAAAAATTGAACATCAATTTTTGCTTATTATCAGGTGGAATTGTAATCAAGCATTAGTTCATATGATTAAAAAAATAAATATAATAAGTCTGCAACGTATTTGCGATTGTTTTGAATTTGCAGAAGCAGTTTTCTTAAAATTTTCTTTATCTATCCTAGAACAAATTGAACCGGAAAGGGAGAAGACTCCGGAGCCAGTTCGCCAAGAAACCACACCGCCGATGGCACTGGTGTGTCAGCCTGACATCACAGAAGATATGGCAGAAGATCCCACTGAGGAAATCGAACAGATATTTAGAGGTGAAAAACATCATATAACAAACAAAATATAAATATAAATATTAAAAAAACGAAATATAAATATTAACTTAAGTTTTATGTTTTTTTGCATAATAATATTTCTTATCGAAGACAAGATTCCAAATAGGAATATGCAGTACCTACCTCTTATTTGGTTTCCTATTTACTGTCTGTGTGATGTATATAAATCTTCTAAATGTATAAAAATCAATGCCACTTTTCGTTGTTATGTTATAACTCAACAATGCCTTTATCGATTTTGCTAATTTTGGTCTTGAATTATTCGTAGAAGCCCAGAGAAAGTTGTAAGTAGAGAAACCGGTTATGCCTTCTCATTTACACGGCGAAACACAACGGTTGTTTCACGGCGGGTTTCTGTGAGGCCGGTCGAGCCGACCCATTTGTGCCGAAGCAGGGCTATTCCACACTTTGTTTGTGATATAAATAAATGAAGGTTGATAAATGAAGATTCTTAAAATTCTGTTTTATTTAACAGGTATTAAAATAGAAGTGCAAGGCTTAGATGAGGAAGCTCTGTGTGAGTTGGGGGCAGAAGTGTCTGCGGCGGGCGGAGCCCTAGCGGGGCCCGGGGCCGGCGCTTCGCACGTACTCGTACCGCTAGACTTTGAGACACAGGAGCTCGTTACTAAGGATGCTGAAGCGGTCACCGTGTTTTGGATCGTAAGTATAAAGTACTAGCTAGTCTCGCGCGGTTTCACCCGCTGCTCGACTCCATTTGATCGTAGCGTGATGTTTTATAGCCTATAGCGCTTAGGAACATTGTAGTTAACTATCAGTGAAAGAGTTTTGGCAATCCGACTAGCGGTTCCAAAGATATACAAACTTTCAAACTTAAAAATTTTACGTCTTTATAATAGTAGTATAGACATATTATTTTAATTTTTATCATCATCATCAGGCTATATTGGCTATCACATAGAAGGTTTGAGCAATAATCAGGGCGCTTGCTCAAAGCGGACTGGCGATTTCAAACTTATAATTAATATGAAATTATAAGTCCAGCTTCCCTCAGGATGATTTCCTTACATTTTTAACGAGACCTTTACCGGCCTTTTAAGTATTAAGGTTTTACCAATTTAGAGATAAGTCGAGAATATTCTACGATCCATTTAAACTAAGAGTTGGTAGGAAATGGCTAGGGCAAGTCTTATTAAATAAATAAATGAAAATAACTACAAAATGTTTCCATACATAACACACACTGAAACTCGAGTCAACTATTTGTGTTTCATTCCTTCACCATATACTAAGAATCTGAACAAAAATATTATATATTCATAAGAGAGTAATATCACATTTCTTTCTCATTCTCGTCCCCCAGAAAGATTGTCTGTCCCAACAAGAGTTGGTTCCCATCCAGTACTACCACCGGCCGGTGCGGGTCCCCACGTGGAGCGGGGAGGGTCCACTGGCCGGGGTCGTCGCCAGCCTCAGCACCTACAGTGGGGTTGAACGAGCCTTCCTTGATGAACTCGCCAAGCTGCTGGGCGCTACGTAAGTATTTTTTTATATAGTAGGTAGGCAAACGAGCAGACTGACTACCTGATGGTAAGCAATCGGCGCCGCCCATAGACACCCGCAACACCAAAGGAGTTACGAGTGCGTTGCCGGCCCGGGATTGGGAAGGGAGTGGGAGGGATTGAGCTTCCGCTAACCTCACTTACACGGCAAAGCAACGCTGTCGTCGTTTTACGCCAGTAATATGTACTATTTTGGATTTCAGGCCCTTTTCACTTACGTTTAATTGATATTAGTGTATGGTTCAGAGCCTCAGAGCTTAGTTGTTGATGGTAAACAATGGTTAAGCACACGAAATATTTATTACTTAAATTCGCAAGATATGAGTTGGATGCTAATCTATGCCAAACGCGACGCGTGTTTTTCCGGGTCTGGGTCTGAAGTGTATGTGAGTTTGTATGTTTGTCCGACCCACTCATAGTGCTACCCACGACACAGGAGAAAATCCGAGAGCGGGCGATCGTTTTTTTTAAACCTTTTCTTTTGTTTATTTGTCAAAGTCAAAGTCAAAATCATTTATTTCAATTAGACCCATACGGGCACTTTTGAACGTCAACACAACTTTAAAGATACAAAGTGTCAGTCTGTCGGTCAGTCCTCTTAGTGAAGCTATTTGCTCGTTCCAAAGTGTAGATTCCGATGGAGAAGAACGAGCAAGAAACTCCATGGTTACTCTTTTAAAATCAGTGTCACATAAACATTCTTTGATACATTATTTAGTTAGTTTGAATATGTGAGAACAGTGTAACGCGTGTATACAGAGAAACATAAAAAGAAAATAACCTTAAGGACAATAGACAGTCCGGAGCTGACCAGTCCCATTTGACGGCCCCCGTTCACGAGCATGACACGTACACCAGCATCGCCCAACTCAACCATATTATAGGGAATCGAGCGATCCGGTGACCGTGCCACCGCCAATGTGACCTTTGAGTGAGCATGACAACTCCAAGCTGACATAAGGACCGACATTCTGCTAGTCTAACTAATTTTAATAGGTTACAGGGCACTCAAATTTACAAATTTATCAAGTTTAACAATAAAAATAGCATGGTTACAAATTAAAAAAATCTAAGAACTTCCAAACAAGCAAAGATCCACTGGAACATTATTTATATTCGTGTAGGTATATTATCCTGTGGAGCAGGACCAGCCCGTCTCCAAGCATCCTTATCCTCAATATAATCACTCAGTTTGTAATATGCTTTTTTACACAATTTGTAATTTGGGTGAACAAACTTTGTATAAATGTCAAAAATACTTTTTTGTACTTTTATAATCAAACTAGTAAATATATTTATTTGCAGTTAACATCTAAGAAGGGTTCTTATTATACAAACGCACACTTAACACACGTTTATGTTCACTATAATATGAGTTATTTTCCAAAACAAACATAAAAAAACCTCCCATATTAACTGTTCATTATTTTCATTCCCTTTCTTTCTCTTATCAGAACACAGCTCCGATTCTGCCGACGTAACACAGCGAACGCTCTTGCATCGACTCACCTAATATGTCCAACCCCCACTGGGGACAAATACTTGGGGGCCTTGAAGTGGGGTCTACCTGCAGTGAAGGCCTCATGGCTGCTTGAGTGCGCCAAGGAAGGGAGACGTGTCAGCGAAAAAGAACATCTTGTTGGAGATACTAAAGGTTTGTTTAAGATTTATTTATGAACAGCGGCTTCGGTCTGGTCATTTGACGATCTACTACCCAACCTTGTTACCTACTTGCACTTCTCACCCTACTCTGTCTACCCTACACTACCCACCCTACTTACTCTATCTACCCTACCTACCCTACCCTACTCTACCCTACCTACCCTACCTACCCTACCTACCCTACCCTACCGACCCTGCCCTATACTACCTACTCTCCTCTATCCTATGTCTTTCTCCCAGATTGGACCTTTGTCAGTAATATATTTTTTTGTATAGAGCTAAATTGGGTTTGCCTATAATTGTGCTAGAATTTTCCTATATACTGTTGCATTGTGCCTACAAAAGAAACAAAAGTTCCACTTTATGACAGGACTAGCTTTTGTCCGCGAATTCGTTCCCGTGGAATTAGTGACTTGATGCAGATTTTTGGTTACAAAACTATTCTATGTCCTTTGTCAAGTTATGTCTGTACCAAATTACACACAAGAAGAAAAGACAGACAGTGTTCTTTTTGATTTTCCCCTGACAAAATAATTGTTCAATTGGAACCAGTCGTTCCGGAGATTAGCGCGTTTAACCAAGTAAACTCTTCAGCTTTGTAATATTAGTATAGATTTGTAATACTCTTCTCAATATTGTAGCCCCACCTTCGCCCAAACCGCAAGTAATAGAAGAAGAACAACAACCTCTAGAGGTTCCGGAGCCAGAACGGATGGAAGAACCTGTGACGGCTGGCGACAAGGAGAATGCTATGTTGCCACCAGTGGCCCCCACCATACCTCGACGGTTATCTGGACCGAGTAGGGAACAGACTCCCAAAGGAAAGGGTGAGTTATGAGCAGTGATCAGAGTAGGTAGATTGAAATGGGGTCCATGATCCGAAACGTATATATTAATATGGACATTCCTCCGGAATTGGTAGATTATTAAAAAAAAACCAGAACAATGCGTACGCCCGCCGACGATTGCCAGGTAGCTCACTCGTTTACTTCAGAATTCGATTCTTTTATTATTCAACAGATAAATAATGAATTAACTTAGTTTGGATACCTTCCTTTAAATTTTGAATTGAAAATAGACAGTTGGAGACATAGAAAATACAATTATTTCTACTTCTTTTTCATTAGTAGATCTTCACTCAGAGGCGCACCAATATATTCGTATGTAAAATTGTATGTTTGTAGTAGCATTCACGACACAAGAGAAAATAATATAGAAGTTTGTTAAAAAAAAAAATCGCCTGAAGTGCTGCAAATTGAGTAATTTTTGCCGGTATTTCGATCTCTTTTCGCACACCCTTTTTCTAAGAAGAAAATCTTCCAGTGATTTCTCTTGTCCACGGATAAGCGAGAGGGAGTGTCAGATTCTACTTGACTAAAACACCGCCCAACAACCGTTCCTACAAAAAAAGTAAAAATCATTTAACATCACCCTCATTCCTTGTTTTGCGCTTACCCCGCAACCCCGGCTGAACATCAACTCTGTAGATCCCTGTGTGTGATGGTATAAAGTCTTCTGTGCCCAGTCTTTTCCCCAAAAAATTCATCAATCAATAATATAGTTTTTTCCTATCATGTTTCTAGATGCAGATGAGATGTCACCAGCGTCTCGCTACATAGCGATGGCTCGGCAAGGTTTGCTAGGCTGTGACTCGCAGGAAACACCCAAACGTGTAGCTGACCTCAAAGACGATGCTAGACAAGGTATGTTAGGTAAAAGATAAATAATTTTAGTTTTTACGGCTGATTTTTCAATGGTTAGATAAAAGTTACCTGGGGAATAATTATGATGCTATCGCGTCAGGATGTTCGTATAAGACAGTGACAGCAACAATTTTTTTCAAAAAATATTTACCTGTATATTGAAAAATCAGCCACTTACAAACTGTGAACGAAAACATCGTGAAGCAACCTGGATTTACAATTTCTAATTATAAGCTTAAAATCGCCAATCCGCTTTGAGGAAGCGTGGTGATAATGCTCAAACCTTCTCCGTATGAGAAGAGGTTTTTCATGATCATGTCATTCTTCTTGATCATGTGTGTAAGACGAAAGGGAGAGTCACTCTTACTGACTTAATACGCCCCCGTTCCTCCTCTTGCGTCAAATTGTACTTTATTCCGGTTGATGTGCAACGGTGGTTGAATATCGGCCCCCGAAGGCGTAATATGAATGGCTAGAAAACTGTTTTTGGTAGACCCGCCTGCATAATGTTTTAATTTTCTTGTAATACGGAGCGATATACTGTTTGATCAGAAAAAATAAATTCTGGAACAGAATTTCTGATCAAACTCGAGGTTTCTTCGACTATCAAAATGTTCATTATTATTATTACAATAAAAATTCTCAAAAGCTATTAAACAAAACTATCTATCTACATTTCAAATTCCTTTTATCTCACGTCCAGGAGGTGAATGTGGGGTCAGAACTCCCCCACTGGAGGACGCGCTATCGACCCCGAACCTGGCCGCCCTCAGCCCCACCACGCGGCGCCGGCTGCAGGCTGTGAGGAGGGGGGAGATGCCCTCCGATCCTATACGTACCCCTACCGATCCTTGTAAGTGTTAAGTATTATCAAAATAAAAGTTACAATACGATAGTTTCAAACTAGTCAAATTCAATACTTTTATTGTATCACAAACTACGTCGTGTAGGGCGGTCTTCAGCTAGGTGAACTGACGATGTCCGCAGGGTGGCTGGCAGTGGTTGGATATAATGATGTATAATGAAATCCTTTCTCTTTCATCTTTACTATCTATATAATGTTTAAATGTATATTCTAGTTGAAAAGAACGCGCAAACTCCGGACAGCGCATTCGGCGCGGCGCTCCGGCCCGGGTCGGGGCGCATGTCACCGGACGCACGGAAGCGACTGTGGAAGTTCGTCGACGGACTGCCCAGCAAACAGGCCGAGCCGGCGCCGAGGGACAAACATACGGCAAGTTTATTTGTTCATAGTTATTATTATTTTCAATTGAGCTAAAGTACCAACTGTGTGGTGGCAGTGATTTTTAAGTAAGGGAGAGCCACGAATGGATCATCTCGACTGGCACCAATCATTTTAAATTATTTAATACTAACTTCCGTACACAGCTTTGTTTACGTAGAAGGTATGTTCATAAAAATTAGCCTATGTTTTGTTATCTAGGCCTCTAGGACATATCACTTCTCTTAACAAAACAAAGGCTTATTTCTAATTGTGGGTGAGCCATGCTTCGGCATGAATGGCTCGGCTCGACCGGTGTGATATCACAGCCTCAAAGAAAACCGGCGTGAAACAACCACAGCGTTGTGTTTCGCCGTGTGAGTGAGGTTACCGAAGGCCCAATCCCTTCTCCCCCTTCCCTTCCCAATCCTTAAATCTCATAAACCTTTATCCCTAAAAGGCCGGCAACGTACTCGACAACTACTCGTTTGATGTTGCGGGTGTTCATGGGCGGCGCTGATTGCTTACCACCAGGCAATCCGTCTGCTCGCTTGCTGACCTATGAAAAAAAAAATATCATATTTTTTTTACTCAGTCCAATGCAATTGTACGTGTTTGAAAATGTTTTTAAATACACCGTTTCTATTTGTATAGCTTACCAAATTGAACGGATGTGTCGTAAGTTGTTTCGGTTCGTTTCTATTTGTTAAATATTATCTTGATAATTTTTATTTATTTAATAAATATATTCTTTACATAATCTTGCAATTTTCAAATTTCGATATTTGTGTGTCACAATATAACATTGTATTATCATATTTATCGTCTTGTGTTAAAGATGGATTTTGATTATATTGTTTTTTTTTTTCATATTTACAGCCGTTATCAGAGATTCGCAATAGATTTTTAGCGCAGTTTAATGGGGATGCGCCTACGCCGCCTTCTGAACATACTGCTGTGGCACCAAGAAAACTCCAATTACAGGTACTTACATAATATATTAAAAATGTTAACCGACTACAAAAATTCCCTCCTACCTTGTAAATTCCATTATACTACATAATAAACATCTGAATATAATACCTTGATAGTTTAAATGACAAATTGAGTCATTTAATCAAACGGTTAGTCATTCAGGACGCCGATTAAATGACTTATATAGGTGCCTTTTTTGACTTCTTTGAAGCCCAGGGTTAGGCGAGTGGTAGTGTCAGACTCTTACTGACTAAAAACCCCCCGTTCCTTCTCTTGCTTTAGGCCGAGGCCGCGGTGCCTAATGTGCTAGCCCCGCAACCCCGGCAATATAATAATATGTTGCAGTCAACTAAGCTATCTAATCAATCAGCTAGGCCTTTGATCGCAGAACAATTCGAGTAGCTGTTTATTTAACATAACGATTCGATTTCTGTTACATAACCTATCTTACCATTCTGCTAGCGAGTCTGTTTTCACAAAAGTCCCTTCACCCTTTACTTTAAATGAAAATTCAATCATTAAATCAAACAGCTACTTAGTCAATTAGGGCGTTTATTGAATGAACTAAGCTAGTTGCCTGCTACATAAATATAAACTTTATTAAGATTAAAATCATACTATTTCTATTCCAGGAACAATGCGAGACTCCACCGGCTAAAATGGCAAAGCTATCACAAGATCAGGTAAAATTATGTTCACAAATCTATACCAATATTATAAAGAGGTAAAATTGTAAGTTTTATACAACAACATTATCTACAAGTCGAAAATATTGTAAACAGCTTCCTATAATCCCTACAACCTCGGAATGCTTTTGGTGTTGCAGGTGTCCATGGGCGGCGCCTATTACTTACGATCAGATATCAATTGCCAATCGCACTCCTCAAATTGCTGAACTCGTACTTTTGTAACCGCTCCTACATAAAAATATACATCATCATCATCATCATCATCAGCCTATAAGTGCCCACTGCTGAGCAAAGGCCTCTTCTCACACGGAGAAGGTTTGAGCATTAATCACCACGCTTGCTCAATGCGGGTTGGCGATTTCAAACTTATTATAAATTATAAGTCCAGGTTTCCTCACGATGTTTACCTTCACCGTATATCAGTGGTGTCTAAATAATCCTAGAAAGTACATATAACTCGGAAAAAGTCACATTGGTACTTGCCAGGTTTCGAACCCACACCCTCATGCATGAGAAGCGGGCTCTTCAACCTCCGGGCCACCACGACAGTAAAAATATACGGTAGTTTCCAATCTCAAAAACGATACTTTTCTATGAAATTTGTATGAAACACTGAGTTATGACGTCATAGCATTTTTGCGACAAATTGCTTACTCATTTCTTAAAAAAGGCTAAAAAAATATCAAAAATTTGGTGTATCCATCGATCGATGAAAAGTGTAGTTATTTTTCAATACTTTATTGTATTGAAACGTCGAATTAATTTATTTTTGACCTAGGAAACTACCCAATTATCTTCAGAAAAATAACTATTTAATATCACAAACACCATTTTTAAACTAAATCAATTATTTCTTCAGAGTCCTGGCGGCATCACAACTTCAAGTACAATCACTGTGTCCACCCCGAAGCCCGCGTCGTCCCCGGCGCTCCCGGCGGCAGTGGACGCGCAGTTACAACGCCTCAGCGCCGCGCTCACCGGCAGGCTTAGCTCGCAACGCGCAAGGAGGCAGCGAGAGTCTACGCCGACTGTACCCGCGCCACGTAAGTTGAGAAAAATATGCACTTTCTTATTTTAATTCAGTGGAACAGATCTGGGTGTGATGTGTATGTAAAATTTTATGTTTGTAAACGCATCCACGACATAGTAGAAAATCCTAGGAAATCGTGAGGTTTGATCATTAAAAATGGAATACAGTCATTTTGGGTAAAATAAAAGTAAAAAATCGGAAGCCCAATTACAACTGGATGCTTTTTCTAACGTGTAAACTTTGTGACATTACAAAAAAATAAAAAAAGAGACGTCCAAACCTTGTCATGAATTTATTGCTACTAAAGTAAATTATGTTATTATAATGTTTTGCCTAATTACAATATTCACGCAAATGACAGTTATATACAGGGTATAAAAAGACACTTAACGAAGCCGTTAACTACGCATACTGCAGTTGTAACTAAGTAGCTTTACGCTAAAATTATCACTGGAAAACGACTTTTATTTTTAGGTAACAAAAAAAATATATAATTTTATTGCGCGCAATGTAAAGCAAACGGGCTTCGTGTCATTGTGTGCGTAGGTTCACAGCTTAGCATTAAAACACTGTGATAAGTACGTAGGTCGACGTTTTAATTCGCAACAACAAAACAATTCTGTAAAATAAAAATCCTACTGAGATGCACGATGTTTTTTGTGCGATTCCAGTCCCCGACTCGGAGCCGGCCCCTGAATCCCAGCCCAACACAGTGGGGTGGGACGATACCACGCCTGCCCAACAACCAGAGCCTGAACCCGAGCAAGAAGCGGCGCCAGTCAAGAGGTTCATGCTATCTTCTAACGTCGATGTGAGTAGAAATATTTTAGTATAGAAAGTAGAAATTTATTGAAGTGAGATGATTGTGAGTGAAATTAACTATGGTTTATCTCTACCTTACTTTAAACAACCATGACATGACTTTTTATATAAAAATTGTCTAAAAATAATTGTATGCAGAAATGTCCAAAATCAGGTATTTACTTAAATTGATGGAAGCTAAAAACTATATTAAATTTTATTTGTATGTATTAAGTATAAAAAGAAAAGACACACCAATATTATCTTAATATTATTACTTATAATAGTATTACTTAAACACCTAGACGGATAGACGACGAGTGACCCCGGTCTGAATTAGGAGAAGGGGGTGATTTTTACTTAGTAAGTTTAGATCGCTTGAGTACGCCATATATTAGAATAAAATTATAATGTTCGTTCCACAGAATCGCGAGGAGATAATTGCAATGATAGTCCAGCTGGGCGGGGAGGTATGCGAGGGCGCGGAGCTGGACCCGGAAGCGAGCCACTTACTCTGCGCTGCGCCCGGACGCAGCGAGAAGATGCTCGGCTCCATCGCCGCCGGACGCTGGGTGCTACACCCTGTATACATCGCCAGGAGCCATGCCGCGGGGACCTTCCTACCGGTAACTTATTTACACTCAATATTTAATACCTAAAACTCAATCGGCCTTATTACAAAACAAGGTTTTACTTTAGTCTCGGACTAAACCATTGAACCAGTTTTCGTATTTCGAACTGAAGGTAGATGACAATAAGATTCAAAATTCAAAACCCGACTCAATGGTTTAAACCTGGACTAAAGATAAATTTTGTTTTGTAATAAGGGGGAATATCTTTATGCCTTTACCATAAGTACATATAAAGGTGGTAACAATTCGGCTTCGTTCCCGTCATTTCACTATCTTCTCTATATTACCCAACCTAGTTACGTACCTACACTATCTGCCCTACCCTCTCTACCCTACCTATTCTATCTCATCATTATCATAGGCCTATAAGTGCCCACTGCTGAGGAAAGGCCTCTTTTCATACGGAAAAGGTGAGAGCATTAATTTGAAATTGTAAGTCCAGGTTACCTCACGATGTTTACCTTCACTGTGTCTACATAATCATAGAAAGTACATATAAGTCGGAAAAGGTCACATTAGTACATGTCAGGTTTCAAACCCTCATGCATGAGAAGCGGGATCCTTAACCTCTGAGCCACCAATTCCTATTCTACCTACCCTACCTATAGTATTGAAACGTCTAATAAATATTTACCTTTGATCTAGGAAACTAGGAAGTAAGTTGTTATCGTTAATGTAATTTGTACAGGAAGAAGAATATGAGTGGGGCAATCCCCTGGCGAGTACCCTGCCGAGCGTGTCAGGCGCGGAGCGCAGCCTATCCCGCGCGGCGCACCGTTGGCGCGCGGCGCGCGGTGGGGGCGCGGCGGGGGCCTTCGCCGGCCTCGTGGCGCTGCTACACGTGCCGCCGCCGCGGCGCAGGCTGCTCGCCAGGCTCATTACTGCCGGCGGAGGGGAAGCTCCTGATGACGAGTTAGTATACTTGTTTTCTTTTTAAGTTGCCCCATACTAAGATTTTCTCCTGTGTCGTAGGTGCGTTTACAGACATACAATGTCACATACACGTCACACCCGGTATAACAATTTGTGGATTATTAAATTTTTGGTGGGAGTGAGTCATTCAATGTCTAATAGGAAGGTAAACGAGCAAACGCATTACCTGATGGTAAGTAATCAGCGCCACCCATGGACACCCACAACAACAGAGGTTTTATAAAAGCGTTGCCAACCTTTGGGGATTAGGGTTTCGGAGATTTAAGGATTGGGAAGGGATAGGGAAGCCTAGTCCCTCTCGGATAAGATAATTTCACTCAAACGACAAAACAAAGCTACGGTTTTTTCACGCTGATTTTCTGGAAATAATAGTCAAACGCTGACTGTAGAAAAGACATTCACATATCACTATTAACCCTTTTCTTTTACCATTTCAGACCGCCCTACACGAATGAAAACATAACAGTTTGCTTCGCGGACATCAAACGCTACCCTTTGTCAGACAGAGACAGCGCATGGCTCATATCGAAGAGGATTCCAGTCTGTGCCCCCGTGCTACTCAGCTCGTTCCTCACTGACGATCCACCACCGAAACCTGAAGAACACTGCTTACCTGATTTTAGACCTTAAACTTGAAGATATAGCGACTGGTTTGACTTGATGTTGGCTTTTCAAGACATTAGGGTTAGCTAAGTTTGAGTGACACTCGACTTTAGACCTTATTTTTGTAGATGTAACATCGTTTGTTGCTTGAACCAGGTATAATTTATTACTTCTACGACATAAATGGTTTCATTTTAATCCTTAATCATTTGAAGTTAGAGTTAATTTTTGCTCTAGTATGTAGTCAGCGATAGCTAGCTATCTAAAGCTGATGAAGAATCGCCTGATACTTGTTTTTAAAACTTAAAAGTATAAACATAATGACTTCACTACCTATGTCATATTGCTTCGTGAAGATAAAATACCACCAAAAAATTACAGTTGCATTTTGTAAATACTTAAAACCATTTAAATACTTAAAAATAATCACACCTTCAATATTAATATTTGTATGTATTTTTTGCCATTTCACGATGACGTCATAATCTTATCAAGTGCCTAAGTGCTGCTGCATAAGTTCATTAAAATTTAAAGAGGCTATCCTATTCAAAAGAATAATGTATGTGATTTTAAACCCTAACGCTATTGTCTTAAATTAGCATTTTATATGGCGTATAGGTAAGATATTTGAAATGTAAAGATGGTATTTTAATTCACAGTTTTATAATTTAATTAACAAACGCACAATCATTAATATGTAATCTTCATCACAGCAACTAGCACGCAAAACCTAAACATACTATAAATAAATATTACTTCAAACACCATACGTACTTCATTATCTTGAAATATCCTAAAAAATTGCCGAAATCGATGAATGAAGATGTGATTATTTTTAAATAATTACCTAATTATTTTTATCTACTAAAACCGCATCCAAATTGTCACGCAGTTTTAAAGATCTAAGCATACAGAGGGACGGACAGCTGGAAGCGTCGTTGTTTTATACTATATAGTGATAATTACTGTAATATTTTAGTTATTTAGAATATTTTAAAATATCTTCGACGTTCAACAATCAATAGATTAAATACCAAAATGGCGTCTTATGAAACTACTAGTAGTTGTAATGTCAATCAGTACTGAACACAACGACGAACGGACGGACAAAAAATATGTTATTATACGTAAAAGTTGACTGACATGTATTATTGTATATTTATAGTTATATATCTCCATTATTTTGTGACAATAAAAATAATTAAATAATGTTGTCTGAATTTTGTGTATTTTTATTTCTAACTTGCAACTAAAGCTACCTAATTCTATTATTGTAAGCTTGTGTAAAATCATAGCGTGGGAGTGGCAACGTTTAAATAAAAAAAAAAGAATTGTAAAAAGAAACAATGCGTATGGTTTATGTAAAGTAAGTACCAATTACCAAAATATATTAAGTTATCCTGACAATAACATAAAAGTAATGTAAACTGATGGAATGAAACCATACTTTGATTTGAATTAAATAGCAATGATAAATAAGTACTAAATTAATTAAACTTATACTCAAACAAAATTAATGGTTAAAAAAACATTAAATAATATCAAATATATTTATTGAAAATAATCACGTGAGTTAACTTGTAGTAAAAAAAATAGCAGCAGGCGCGCAGGTTCAGGTTATTTAACGGGGATGCAACGCATAATCCCCTCAGCTGTGGCGGCCATTTTTCGCGATTCGGCGGATCTGTGTAAGTACTTCGTGGGTGGTCCGCGCAATACCGGCGCGTGTGTTTAAAATTACAATATCTCAAACCTTTTGTATGGAAGCTTATATAAAGCTTATATATTTGGAATCGCAAAGAAATAAGCTAACATAAAAAAATGTACTGGTCCAGTTTCAATTTGTAATGTATAATTAATCCTAATTTGAAATCGGTTGAGCTACTTTTTTCCCAGTTTGGTACAAAAGCCGTTACAATAGCAAAAATAAACAATTATTTTTAAAACTTTAATTTTCTTCACTTATATACATGTGACTTCACATTAATTAGTAAAAACAAAACACTACTCGCCATACATTCTTTTTACAGAAACAAGCTTTAAAAAAACGCCTCATTTAGGAGACTACTTTTTAAACGTCTAGTATCTGTCACAAGTGCGTTCTAGAGACTTAAATTGTGAATTTATGCATAGTTCTTGTTCTTTTTCATACACTTCATGCAAGTTAGAGCAGGAGGCCTCGGCTACACACGAATACTTAAGTCCCTTGGTGACTTGAAACAATCAAAGTAGGTACTTACTTACAGTTTTCTCAGTTTAAATTGACACGAGTAAGTCAAATACAGTCATCAAGATTTTTAAAAAAATACACAAAAAAAAAAATAGAAAACACTACAGTCAGTAATATAATTTTATTAAAACGATATGCAAATAAGGGATGAATGATTAGGTACTAAGAAAAATACAATAATGCCCTTATCTATTTTGTTTATATCTACTAAAAATCACGCACTGGGCTTTGAAGAGCATAAGTAGTTCAGGATAATTTTAAAAATAATAAAACAATTATATAATGTACTTATTCCTTTTTTTTACTGGACTAAGTATTCTTAAATTATGAATATCAATGTAAAATAACTATACCACAGCGTACCTACCATAATAATTGTTGTACAAATTGCAGTTATCGCTTTTATGAGATAGGTTGGGAACGAACACGATGACCACGACGAGGACATAGGTACTATTAAAACCAGTAGATACTTGTGCATTCTCTTTTGCACCTTTAAGTCATTTTGTCTTTTAAATTCACCGAAGGAAGTGCAAACTATCAATAATAAAACTCAAATAATATATTCTGATATAAGTATTTCGTTGCGGGATCCAAGATAGTTATTCATGTCCTTGGGATGGGACTTCAAGGATTTCGGTGATAAATGGTTGTGTCTACTGTAGATCCTGGCTTAGAAGAGATGCAGCTGTTGAAGGTTGTGGTGGGGTTGGCCCAATACGATTAAAGGCATGTTTTTAGTTTTAAAACTAGAAATTTATTGAACTCTATTTGTATACCTAATAATTATAAGTTATTCTCACACCTTGTCTTTTATGTATATTAGCTTAAAACTAAGCAGTAATAGAAAGGTACTTAAAAAATATATATATAATATTAATTATTATAGTGAAGTCGGTAATCCATTAGTTTCCAATCACTCAAATTGAAATCAAATTTCCAAAATTACACTTTTCGATAAATTTTGCTATGAAATCGCGACGACATACTTAGTTGTAAAACTCTGAAATTAAGTACCTAGGTTACGTACCTACCTAGGTACTTAATATAGTCAAATCAATGAATCAAAATACTTATGATTAGGATATTTTGATAATTAATTGTGTTGGTAAGTTAAATTTCTGTAATTTTTATGACTTAGAAAACTACCCAATTATAATATTGCAAAACTTATGTATAATATTACTTACTAACAATATAAACATAAACATTTAATAATTCATTAAACATATACCTAACAAAATAAATACCTAATAACATTTAAAACAACGTCTTCATATACAATATAAATTGCTAAATTAACTACTTATACAAATGTCTTCATATTAAAAAACTATAGGTATTTCATACCTACCTTTTTTAATATATCTAGAAAACGTCTATAGGTACATATAGATCCATACTTTCACAGAATCTACGGATAGGGGATAATATACCTAGTCTTAAAACAATACGGTTATTTCTATAATAATACTATTCGAACTTAAGGTGCAATTTTCTTTAAAACCTAATCGTCAAACCTCTTCACCATGACCTTTATATTTCTATTCTCATCATAAGGGAAGTTGAGTCCATTCTCAGCTAATTCTTTTAAGGTTATCGTTCCGATGGTAGTGAAGCCGGCTCTCGTGGCACTGATCTGTGAAGCTGGGCCCGTGAATACTGTAGACGTGCCTTTAACTCCATGATGAAGGCTTAGTGGTTTTCTGTAAAAAACAATACATCTCTAGTTAATAAGCTGTACCTAGAGTTTGTTTGTTTGAACGCGCTAATCTCCGGAACAACTGCATCGAATTAAGTTACGTAAACAGCGTATAATATGTTTGTATATTCGTATAACCTCATTTTATGCAAGTTCGATTTGAGATAGATTCACGATAACAAAAGTTGAAACCTTTGTGGTTTTAGGTCGCTATTTTAAACGATAATCCTGTGTTTACTGTTGATGTGATAAATAAATAAATAAATAAATAATTGAACAATTATTTTTGTCTCTGTTAGTCCATTTATTGAGGAAGGCTAAAGGCTATAAAACATCACAGAGCGGTAACCGGTTGTCTCTAAGGGTTTGAGTGAACGGCGCAGTGCGTCAGGCCCGGCAACCGGTTACCGCTTGGGGGGTCGAAGGGTTAAAAGGCCGGCAAAGACTTTGAGCTGGAGTGTTGCTAGTGTCTATGAATGATGCCAATTGCTTACTATCAGCCGATTTAGCTTGTTTGGAGCTCTCCGCCATAAAAATGGTAAGAAAATTTAGATTGACTAAGTATAGACACAGTAGCTATTATGATTTAGATTTATATTATTTTATTCTTTAATTTTATCAGTAATTTTTGGCTCAGTAAGCGATGACCTTACAAAGTTATCAGTAAAAAATACCAAAAATAAACCTATTAAAAAAAAGATAAATAAAATGAACTTTGTACCGTGATCTGAACGCACTTTGTACATACCAACATCATCATTAATTAACGTGATACAATGCATAAAAACCTTAATACCGAGTAACACAATTTTTCATCCAACTTCGAGCCTTACTTCCAATGAGATAAGATCAAAAATTGTATAGTAGTAAATCAGAATGGTATAGCATTACTTGCTGCCGTCTTCAAAAGCGAATATCGTGAATTTGAAAGGTCATATAGGGGTCAAATCAATTCATAATCTGGCCCTATCTCTCTAAAGGAAACGAGCGATTTATGATATTGAATGCACTGATAAACTATATTTAGATTATTTAAAGGGAATATCGAGTCTTCAAATCTTTTATTAATAAAAATTACTTGGTGTTTGTTAGTCTCGCTAAAACTTGAGATCGGCGGGTTCGTTTTGGATAATGTTGGTATTAAAATGTTCGTTGAAGTCCAGGCAAGGTTTGAATTGTCCAGAATATTGGTTATTGTATTTGGGCGGTACGAAGTGCCGGTTCAGCTAGTGAAGGATAATTAATAATTATAAAGGGTTTTCTGGATTATTTGTAATATGTTATCATGGATTATTGACAAATAGTGCAGTCATTACAATAATGAATGAGTTTTTTTTAAGAGGGGGATAAATTATCAAATGGCTACACTGGTTGGGGTGAGAGAAACTACCTATTAGAGTCACACTAATTAAAAACAACCTTGTTCCTTCTCCTGCTCAACTGTCCCAACCGTACCAGGCCTTACATGCCGAAGCATGACTCTCCCACACTTAAAAACTAGCTAAATTACCAATAGGACTAAAAGACTAAAAGTCCAAACTGGCACTATCTGTTGAGAAAATGAGTAGGTACCTAGTATAACCTCTTTACAACGTGATAAAAAAATTAAAGTGTTCCATATAGATAGATACCTATATAACAACGGAAATCCTGTCATTAAATTATCGTTATTGTTATGAAAAAGTAATCTATTTAGGCAAACCAATTGATATCTAACTATTAAGTAGGAAGGTATTTATTATCATGATAACAGCAAAGGAAATTAAACGTAGGTAATAAACAGTTAGCTCCAACAGATTACCAATTTGTATAGCAATTACAACCGACATCGACAGTGAACAAGCATTTGTTTGGGAACAAATTCCTTATGACTAGGTAATGTCGTACCTACTAGTTTAAAATATCACTAGGGCACTAAACCTATTAGTTCAAAATATCGCTGGTCAACCCCTGCAGGGTCTGCAGACGGCGGTCATTGTTAAGGGTAGCTCGCCGCCTGACCAGAACCAGACCCGAGCGTCGCATAACGTCGTCAATAGACTACTTAACAGATAGGGGGGTCCAGTGAGGCCGACGTTCAGCTGAGGTTGCAGGTCAAGATAATTTTGAAATCCAAATCCAAACTAATATTATAAATGCGAAAGTAACTGTCTGTCTGTCTTTTCTGCACACCTAAACTACTGAGCCTATTTGCGTGAAATTTGTTACAGACGTAGTTTGGAACTCGAAAAAGGAATAAGGATAGTTTTTAAACTAAATATCTGCAGGAAGTCACTATTCCATGCGAACAAAGTCGCGGGCAAAAGCTAGAAGGTATATATATATTGCTCTAGAAGTGGTATACAATATTGGACAAAGAACAAAACTGATGTCATTAAAGCGAGAATATGGACTGCATTATCGTAGGATTATTGCTATGGTAGTTTCCTCACTTATACGTTATCCCATTTATTCCAAGGAATATTCGGAAAGTATGATTGTGATACTGCTTGAAAAAGAGCAACCATTAAGTTTCTTGCTCGATCTATCCATGGAAATCTGCAAATAGCTTTACTAGAGGATAGACCAAATAGACTGGACTATTTTATCTTTGAATCTTGGTAAAAAAACCGACAGTCTAGGATGCCGGCAAAAAAGAAATCAGAAATAAATATAACAAAACTCACCTTGCAGCCAATATCCTGGCACCAAGCTTGGCACCCCTGTACTCCCTACACACCACAAGGCCAAGGGCATAGAGAATCTGGCTCATACCCAGATATTTGAAGGCGTCTACTTTATCGTCAACCACTTTCAGTGCGTTATACACGTTCTTGAAGCCTTCTCCCTCCACCTTAAAAAAATAAATAAAAATTTGCAGTAAAATGGTAGATATAACACACACTGTGACTATTCTCGTGTGTCGCGGATGCAAAAATACAATTTCACATAACATCGAGACTGGAAACAACAATTTGTGGATCACACAAAGTGTTCCGTGCGGGAATCGAACCCGCGGCACGCTGCAGCCAGTTGCCCACCCACTGCGCAAACCGTGAAGTCTATATGAAAATAATAAAATTGAGATATTTCTTTTTTTAAAAGTGATTCGATTTTTGAAGGGTTTAAGTAACCCAGGTTACTCCGTTTGGTTCAAGAAAATCTTGGGCGTTGGCTCTCATTATCGTCAGCAATTTGATTAACATCTTGCCCATAACTAACTTATTGGTTGATTATCTTGGTGAATGTAGAAAGGTTAGCAAGATTTAGAAGATGGTAGAATAGATTTGTAAGTATGGGAGTCATTATTTAGTACGATTGAGGTGGTTTGTTTTTTTGTCAGGGGAAAATCATCCGATGACTTCTCCCGCCCCGAACCGGGAGGGAGGGAGTGTCAGACTCTTACTGACTAAAAACCCCCCGTTCCTTCTCCTGCTCTGGGCCGAGATCGCGGTGCCTCATTGCGCTTTCCCCGCAACCCCAGCTGAACATCAGCCCTATTGGGCCCCGTCTGTGGTGGTCTATTGGCTCGGGTCTGGTTCTGGTCGGGCGGCGAGCTGCCCTTACTCGCCGTCCGCAGACCTACGATTGAGCTGGCTTGACTGCGTGATACCAAGGCTTAACAGAAAAACGGTGTTTCACCGTGTGTGTGAGGTAACCTATCCTGCCCATCCATAATCTCTAAATCCCTCAATCTTCAAATTTTCCTGTATTTCTCTTACTGACTAATATCCACCTCGTTTCTTCTCTCAGTCTGGACCACGGCATTTATTATTTGTTGCGCTTGTCCTTCAACTTCAACTGATTTCACTGTGTTAATGTTTTATTAGCTAAAGAAATTCCCTTAGTTCTTCAGATAGGTAAGGTTATTTACTTTTTAATATCTTTTCAGTGCTTTTTAGTTCATTTTCCTGTTAGGTTTCAAAGTACAAGTACTTGTAACATAGTACAAGTAGGGGTAAATATTTCTCTTAAGTAAATCAGACTCAATAGTCAACTTTTGCCGAAACCACTTTTTTCATCTAGACTATATACCTACTGTCATCGTCAGAAAGTGCAACACGTATCATCTGCGTTGCCGGACTTTTGACCGTTGTTAAAGATTTGAGGATTAGATATTTTGGGATTAGGGTGCAAGCGTTGGGGTAACCTCACACACACGACGAAATACAAAGCCAGCTTTTCTCCCATTCTTTCTTTGCTCTTTTTTCACTCCAGTCAAGCCGGCCAATTCGTGCTGAAGCATTTCTCTCTACTACTAATGTAACGTGAAAATTAAATAACCACAGCGTTGTGTTTCAACGTGTGAGTAATATTACCCCAACGCTTGTACCCCAACCTCAAACATACCTTATACCGAAACTCCGAATCCCCAATCTCGAAAAGGCCGGCAATGCACTCGTTACTCCTCTGGTGTTGTGGTGCCGATTGCTTACCATCAGGGAAACCGTCTACTCGTCTGCCGCCCTAATCGATATAAATATGGTATACTTATTTACTTACAACATCATCCGTTTCTTCATCCTTTGTCTGGACAAGGCACACGTTCAACGCGACTAGTTTCTTGTTGCCATCCTTCAGTTCATAGCAGGCCAGTGACATGCGCTGCGCTAGGTACCCTCGCCAGAAGTCACTTATACTTTGAGTGGACACTGGGTCTTCTACGATTTCTATAGAAAAAAAATAATGGAATAAGTTTAATTTTTGTTTTTAACGATAAAATCTTATAAAGTAATTTGTATTTACGGCAAAGTAAACTAACAATACGGTAATATTATAACTAGAGTAATTCCAAACTTTTATCGAAATGTCCAAAAACAATATGTTTATATGAATTTTGGTTGGAGATATAGAATTGTGACGTGTCATCATAATAGTTGTATCAAATTGGACATACTATTGGACTAGAACTATATTTTTATAGGAGATCTATAACCTTGTCTATGCTAATATTATAAAGAGGTAAAATTTGTAAGTTTGTAAGTTTATATGTAGGGGGTAATCTTTGGAACCGCGGGTCGGATTGCCAAAATTCTTTCACTGATAGATAGTTACAATGTTCCTGAGTGCTATAGGCTATAAAACATCACGCTACTGTAAAATGGAACTGAGCAGCGGTTGAAACCGTGGGAGAGTAGCTAGTATCTAATAAGCCGTTTAAACATTTTTTTGGTGATTAAACAGGAAGAAAGATAATGATACTAGGATATTTTTTGTTTCAGCTGTATCATCATCATCATCATAATCATCATCAGCCGGAAAACGTCCACTGCTGGACAAAGGCCTCTCCCTTAGCCATCCACGTCGAACGACAAGTTGCCACCGGCAGCCATTGGCTCCTCGCGACTCTGACGATGTCGTCGGTCCACCTAGCGGGAGGCCTGCCCACACTACGTTTTCCGGTTTCATTACATTTTCAAAAACTTCTTAGTTGTCTTGTGGGATTAGGTTTATTGAACCGTGAAATTTGCACGTGATTCAGGCGTTCAGTCAAAATCCAAAAATAAATATTTAAATACACAGATAACAAAAAAATAGGATTTTACTCCTAAATTATTCAGCTTTCGTAGATACATTGTATGTATTATTATGACTTTGGCTACAGTTCTTGAATACATAAATAGTTATAAGTACAATAATTACAAACGTAAACAACTATCTATTTGTAGTTAAATGATTTAAACTCTTAGAAACTCATGGTCACTGGCATAATAAACAATACAATTGAAATGTGTACATAATCTTATTGGTGATTTTAACCCTCACAAAAAAAGCTCTGAGGCCGCGGTTCTGGGGCTACGTGCATTGTTTACCGTGTGTCAAATATGTTCGTTGCACAAGTCAGGGGTCGAAAATACAATTGCACTCTACCAATTTTAAAATGACCAAAATATCTTTGTATATTGGAGTCAATGGTTGAGGACTGCTTTAATTTATATCATAGAATCTAAATTATTGAATAAACTGGCTGCGAACCATTGAACTTTTACTACAAAGAAATTTTAGTCATTTTAAAATTGGTAGAGTGCAACTGCACTTTTGACCCTTACTGTACATACATTGTAGTCATAGTCCGCGCAAAAACGGGTATAGAAACATGATGAGGACTGTATGACGAAATACACTTCTCGCCGATTGTCTGTAAAAGAGGCCTTCGGGGCTTCGGCTCGTAGCAAAAGATGAAACGCGGACGTTTTTAGTCAAAAAAAAGTCTGACACTCCCGCTTGTCTTTGCCCCATTCTGGTTGAAAGAAGTCAGTGGATGATTATATCCTCGAAAATTTCTTCGCCGCAAAAACAAAAACGTTAAAAAGTAAGTATGTATGTATATGTATAGTTTTTCAATAAATTGCCATCCATTACACGAGTTATGGTTCAATTATATCTAGATTTAATTACATAGCTACCTACACGGCTGTAAAATGTATGTCCATATCTTATACATATATGATATATACAAGATACAAGAAAGTCGTGTTAGTTACACTATTTATAACTCTTTATAACTCAAGAACGGCTGAACCCATTTGGCTGAAAATTCGTAGGGAGGTAGCTAAAAATTGGGAGAAGGACATAGGATAAGATAGAGTAGGTAGTGTGGGTTAGGTAGAGTAGGGTAGGTAGAGTAGGGTAGGTAGAGTAGGGTAGGTAGAGTAGGGTAGGTAGAGTAGGGTAGGTAGAGTAGGGTAGGTAGAGTAGGGTAGATAGAGTAAGAGCTAGTTTATATTATAAATGCTATAATTGTCTGTTTGTTTATCTTTTAAGGCAAAATGAAGTGACGGATGGACGTGATTTTTTAAGTAGAAATTGTTGAAGGTGTTGGGAGTGTCATGTACTTTTTGTCTCTTTCTAATCCTCAAATTCTCTAAAGTGGGCAATGAAATTTTGTACGGAGTATTTCGCAATTTTCCAAATAGAAAGCCATAAAATGGTTTCATATTTTGACAATCTACCCTGGAAACGGTAACCGTGTTACCCCGAATTTAACGCGAGTCAAACCGCGGCGAAAAGCTACTACAGTGACTATTCTAAGATTACCGTAAACAAGAAACCTATTTATAGCAAAATGTTTGTTTTCGTAAAAATAACTCATTATCACATGACGCTTGGTTGTCATAGGCATTTGTTTTATCAGTGTATAATTTGTTAAATAGTACGTATGGGTTTAACTGCAGTAGTCTTCTTATATATTTCACCGAAAAATAACAAGATCCGTAAGTTTATCAATTTACTAGGAAGTTTATAAACGTTCGTAAGATTCTAAACGGGAGATAAATTGTAATATTTTACGTCCACATTTCCGTATATTGATAAACTTACTGAACTCACTCGTAAAATAATAAGTAAGCAGTAACCAAACGCTACACGCGAACTGATTGGTTGGCTGTCACGTGTCACTTCTATGGACACAAGCATTGCCACTATGAACATTGACCAATCAGAGAGCAGTGTGTTATTCTACGTATTTCAAAGATCGTATATTTAAAAGATACCAGGAACAACAATTCGTGGATCACACAAAGAGTTGCTCCGTACTGGAACGAAGCCGCTACATGTTGCGCGGCAGCTAGTTGCCCAGCCATCGCGCCAACCGTGTAGTCCTGAACGAAGCGAGAGAGTTTCAGGCTCTTACTGACTAAAACCCACTCTTTTTTTACTCTCCACCGGCCCGGGGTCGCGGTACATCATCAACATTATTGTAATTCTGATTGTAATATTTTTACCAAAATATTCGTATTTACTTACTGCTTAAACTACACAGGGTTTCATCAGGGCAGAGGTTTTCGACCAGTATCTTGATCGCCTTCTCATCGTCTTCCGGAGGTAGGTCCTGGATGATCCAAGTGGTCCCATTGTCATCTACCCACTGATCCCAAATCCGAGGACAGCTGGAGTCCCAGACTCTTTTGAAACCAACCACCATTCTGTGAAGGAATTTAAAAGTTGAAAAATAATAATAGCAAGTAATTTTTTTTAAGGATAGTTTGGCTAAAGTGCCCATCGTTTCACCCATCAAAAGAGAACGTGACCTGGGTTTAAACCGTTGTCATACAGGTTAGTTTTACCCTTTGGTTTTACTATACAGATTGCCTGATAGTAAGCAATCAGCGCTGCTCATGTGGATAACCAGAGGAATTAAAAGTACGAGTGCACGTTGCAATTAGAGGTTTGTTAAGTATTTGGAGATTAGGGATTGGGGGAGGGGAAAAACATTGAGTCTCCTATATCCTCACTTACACGGCGAAACATAGAGCAAATTAATGTAATTTCACACCGGTTTTTTGTAAGACCGGAGTATGACATAGACGTTTACGATCTCGGCTATTATTTGCCGTGACTTTTGATTTGTTAAATGACTGTAATAATCACGATCTACCTATAATGTTTTTATTCGCATGTAAGTGAGGATTAGTGCTACTCAATGGGCATGAGCAATGGCTAGCAACTGATAGCAACATGGTCTTTTTTATTTATTATTGCAAATGGGCCGTAAAACAGCACTTTTACACGTCAAAATTATATGTATATAAATTTAAAACGACCTCACAGAAAAGTAAAAATGGGCGGCAAAATTAAAATGGGACTGGGCCGGACACGTCTGCTGAATGCATCCGGAGAGATGGGCCACTATTGTCACCTAGTGGACACCTCATTATGAAGGCTGCAGGCGATGTAGGCCCCGGAAAAGATGGCGTGACAATCTAGACGCCTATTATCGTCGAGACTGGTGGACACGGTCGAAAGATCGGGAGGTGTGGAAGCAAGATGGTGAGACCTCAAGCCAGCAGTGGGACAAAAAAGAAAAGTCACATACATACATACAACATGAATTTATTTTTTGGGCAGTCGTGTAAAAAGTAGGGGATAAAATCGGGAAATAGTCTAATAGTCTATTAAAGTTTGGTGTGACGGTAAGCTGACAAAACAAATGACTGTCACTTATGCAAAGCAAGGGCGGAGCGCTACAAGTTTATAAACATTGTGACTCAAGATAATCTAGCCTTGTATAGGTATTATGTCTTGTATATACACGTATATATATACGTCATGTACATATTATTGTTTGTAAATATTATGTTATTTTCTAGTTATATTAGTTAGTGGTAACTCTGTTTCAGAATTATACTGATATCTTTGCTTCCAATTATACATATATACATATAGGCATATAGTGGCCGAAGAGTAGCTAAGAGCTATCAACGTTAACCTCCGTATGAGAGGAAAAAGCGCTATGTTTTATTACACATGCGAGGATAAAATATCTTTATTCGTCTTGTCGTTTTTTAACAACCAATGATGTTATGTAAGATATGCATATTATAATAATTTAATAAGAAGTTTTGAACAGTGTTACTTCTTATATTTGCCTGACCTGTACATTATAATTACCTAGCTAACAAAATATTTTAATAAAAAAACCATTTATTTCATATCACCTAATATAATTAAATGTACTATCAGTGTCATAAGTGCATGGATGATTCTAAATCAAAATCGTTTGTACGGCGTTTCATCGCCTTAATTATATACCATGGACGACATAGATGGCGCTAGTATACTAGTGGTATTGAAAAATATACATTTATAGTTTTTATCAGATACAAAGTTATTAACTTAATAAGTTTTTATACAAATTAATGCTACGATATTCCAAACCTTTTTAAAGCAAAGCACGCAATAACCAGGATTCGAACTCGGTAGCATAAAATTAACCGATGCCACTAGCCATTAGGCCATTACGTAACCTTGAAATACATTGAAATTATCCTACTCTTTATTATATTGAAGTTGTTTAGCAACTATAACCCGATCATGAATCTCAAAACAGTTGAGGGTAATTTAAAATTAACTGTATAAAAATTAAACCTTTTTGTTCAATCATAACATTCTTTACTATCAGTGAGTTCAGTCACGATTTGTTTAACAAGTTTTTAATATTTATTTTTATTATGAATTTGCGTTCAAATGTTAATATGGCTACGAGGGCCCAAATAATAGCATTGCATAATCAAAGCTTAAATTATACTGGAATTTCTAGAGAAACTGGCTTAAACGTAAGTATTCTTATAAATGACCGTTTGTTATTTATTTTATTATCCATAGTTATCGATACATGAAAATAATAAATAATACACGTCCCTTACAGGTAAAGACTGCCACTTTATGGATATCTAAAGCTGTTTCAAGAAGAGGGTTCATTGGAGCACCGTAGTGGATCTGGCAGAAGACGTGATATTGACTCAGACCAGTTTCAACTTATGGGGCAAGGTTATGAGGAAAATTACTGGAGAATTGTCATCTTAAGTGATGCAAACAGTGAAAACTACATAGATGTGCTGAAAGACGTCATGAAGATGTGCTAGTGATAACGTTCGTGCAGGACAATTGTCCTATGTGTAATGTTCCATAATTGTGCAAGTGTTTAGTCAGCAATCAGACATACGGATTATTCCTTGGCCAGCGAGATAGGAGAAATAGGATCGATAAAAATGGCGGCTACACTAGTTCTTAAAAGAAAAGACATTGTTGACTATAGGATTAAGCAATTACAAGACCGGGGTAGCTATAATTTATTTAATGGACAAATGTTCAAACTTAGTGTTAGTAGGATAAATTTATTGACTACTTCATAACCAGCGACTGTTATACAGTAATGATTTTAATGTTTTACTGAATATGAGATATAAAAATAAAAGCAATATTAATATTTACAGTATCTATTGATTGCAAAATAATAAATTATTTATTTATTAATTACTATGAACAATTCGTCCCATATCTAGTGAATGCTATATCCCGGTCTTAGAAATGTTATTGATTTAAGGTCTAGCTTCAATTTCTTCCTTGTTCTGGAACGAATACTTAAGCTATGGGCCTTTGTCATAACATGATGCACAAAATGAATCACTTTAGTCAATACTTTAATTAAATTTTATGGGGAGGTAAAATAGTTGCAGAAGTAAGGTTGCATATTATATAGAATCGTATTATAACATTGTGTTTAAAACTAACTAATAAATGACTAGCACAACACAATTTTGATTTAAAATACTTATTAATCTTATAAAAAGTGTAATAAATAATGTGTCAGTTAGCTGAAAAGTTATTAGGTCAGGGTATACACTATATAAGAAAGAAATAAATATTATGTTTTAAGAAATAAATGTCTGAAATTATAATGTCACTAAAATAGTTTTATTTGTTATCCTTTATGAGAATTAAACTTAGTATTAGTCTTAATCTGTAAGAAAAATATGTTACTTTTACATTAATAGTTAGCACATATTATAAAAGTTATTTATATATATTTATTAATATAATTTTATTCTAAAATAATATATTTATTTATTTTTGTTATCTTTTATAAATATTAAACGTCAAATATTTTATTTATATATTATTATTATTGATTTTATTTAAAAAATATAAAAAAAAACCATTGTTAAAAAACCTGAATTTAAAAATGATAACCCGGAATTGAACCGGTGCCCTTCGACTTCATTATACTATCATTCTTATATAACCGAGCTACCGATCGCATTTTTAATGATATCGAAAATGCGGGTTAGTTTATAACTTTTATTATTGTCTATTATTAATTATTGACGCCATCTTTTAATTGGTTTGCTTGACTTGACTTAGATGGCGCTATATTAAGTCCTCGGAAATGTGAAAATTAACATAATTTATGTGTATTTGAATATAAATATATTATTGTTTCTTAATTATTATTTTAACCATTAAAAACCTTATTGTGTGCCTCTGCAGTGTAAAGTATTCAAGCTTTGCAGGGTTATTTTCATTTAAAAGCAGCGCCATCTAGTTATCAATGGTAGCGTTATGCAAAACCTGTCAGTCAATAGTCCACCTTAAGCTCTCCATGCATTTTTGTCACCCTTAGTACGTATTAAAATAAAAAAAATATGTTTCTAAAATAAAAACATATATGTTACGTATGACGATGCGACTATCGCTTCACTTTGATTAGACATAATTAGACAACACGAAACGTTATTATAAAAAAAAAAAAATAGTCAAAATATATTTCGCACACTACTATTATTTTTATTAAACAAAATCTTTTGAACTCACCTTGCAATTTAGAATCGAATAATAACTAACTAAATTCGGTATTTTAATTAATTAAAAAACGATTGAATTATATGGATGCACTATAAAGACGTTGTAATCTAGACACGCGAGTGAACCAACTGCATAGATCATACTGTAAATGCAGTGTTAACTAGGTATGTTTATTTACATTTACTTAGGGTCGGTCCTCACTGGTTGGTATTTCAGTTTAATATGTAAACTAGTTCCCGCCCGCGGCTTCGCCCGCTTGGTAGATTAATATAAACTAGACTATGTCCTAATCCGGCACGTATCCTATGATGAAAGAAAACACCGGAACCCTGAAGTCCGGCGCGTCCCAGGAACATGAGTGTCTGTCTTGGGTCCCACAACGAAATAAATCAGAACATATTATTTGAGGAGAAGAAGAAAAAACGAAATGGTTTCCACTTCCGGTAAATTTAATGCAGGAGACAGAATGACTTAGGTCTTTAAGGCAAAGAAGAGACTGTACAACTGGGAGAAGCCCAGTCACCAAACACCATGAATACATTTGATACAGGTTTTTAATAGATAGAGTGATCGAAGAGAAAGATTTTTATGTATAACAACATCTATTAAATAGTGGACAAATTTAGTATCAACAAGCACAAGGAAACAGGGATGAGTCATTACGTTAATGTAAAATACCAAAAGATTACCAATAAATACCTGAACAAAACAAATTTTTGAAATAAAAAATATAACAAAAAAAAAAAAACGATTCTTAAAATAAATTCAATATCACACACGCACACGTAGGAAAATGAATTAACAAAACAGACGATCTCACTATACCAACAGCTGACGTACAACTGCCGATTTGCTTCCTTAAACCAAGATTACCTAGACCTAGATAAAGGGACTAGATGCACTTATAAGATAACGCACTCACAATCTTATAGAAAATAGATTACATTTATAATTTATAATATGACATTTGCTTAATATTTAACAAAAATTGCTAAGCAAAGTGAAACTTCAGTCGAGGTTGCGGAGCAAGCGCAATGAGACACCGCGGCCTCGGTCCAGAGTAGGAGAAAGAACGGGGGGTTTTTAGTCAGTTAGAGTCTGACCCGGACCCGGGTACGTCCTAAAACTGCAAACAGACACCGAGGAATGGGGAGCAGCATTCTTTAAAAATTATCGGTGACCTAACTGCGCTCGCCAACCAGCCTGCCAAGCGTGGTGAGTATTGGCAAATCCCCCCATATGAACTGCTCAGATAAAACCAGGCCCCCAGTATCCGGCAGTCCCGCCGTTCCTGGCTACCGTGGTAGCGGTCAGGGTAACGGTGGGACACGGGGTGCTAAGAATCCCCGGAGGTGGAGAAAAGGCTACCACCCCCGACGACGACTGGCCCTGGTAACACACAATGTTCGCACTTTGAGGACAGACGAGAAGATTATTGAGCTGGAAGAGGCATTGGGTAGGTTGCGCTGGAGTATTGTGGGGTTGTCAGAAGTCCAACGAGAGGGCGAGGACACGATAACCCTAAGATCCGGCAACCTATTCTACTACCGGGAGGGCGAGCAACTGTCCCAAGGTGGTGTCGGGTTCCTCGTCCACAGGTCCCTCGTCAACAACATTCTTACCATCGAAAGTGTGTCGAGCAGGGTGGCGTACCTGATACTCAGGGTATCCAATAGATACTCGTTGAAGGTTATCCAGGTTTATGCACCGACCTCGACACACCCAGACGAGGAAGTAGAGGTTATGTATGAGGACATAAGTAGGGCCATACATACTAATAAAACCTACTTCAATGTTGTTATGGGGGACTTCAACGCGAAACTGGGAACTCGAGGCGATAACGAGCTGAGAGTGGGGCAATTCGGGTATGGGCAACGAAACCACAGGGGACAGAGACTGGCTGAGTTCCTGGAGAAGGAGGACCTCTTTGCGATGAACTCCTTTTTCCAGAAGCCGTCTCACAGGAAATGGACCTGGATGAGCCCGGACGGTTCCACAAAAAATGAGATCGACTTCATCATGACAACAAAGCGACAGATGTTCAATGATGTCTCTGTGATCCATAAAGTAAAAACCGGCAGCGATCACCGACTGGTCAGAGGCACATTGAATATCAATATAAAGCTGGAAAGATCACGTCTGATGAAGTCTACGCTCCGACCTTCAAATGCACATATCGGTTGTCCCGAGAGCTTTCAGATCGAGAGAGAGAACTGCGAGAATTGCGAGTCAGTGGACGAGATTAGCAACAGGTTTGTAGAAACTGTCCATGCGGTCGGGTCGAAGTTTTTTAGACCCCGCCGAAAAGACAGACAGATCAGCTTACCGATCGCACCCTCAAACTCATGGCAGAACGACGTGCTATGGTACTCCAGACCTCTGCCGATGCTAAAGCACATCGGCAGCTCAATAGACAAATATGGAAGTCCATGCGACACGATATCCGCAACTTTAACGCCAATAGGGTTAAAGAAGCGATAGAGCGGAACCAAGGCTCCAAAGTGTTCGCTAGGGACATGTCTATTGGGCAAACACAGCTGACGAAGCTGAAGGCGGAGGATGGCAGTGTAGCGTCGACGAAGGCCGAAGTTTTGGGTGAGATCGAGAGGTTTTATGGACAGCTATACACATCGGTCACTAGACCTGTTAGCTCAGTCGCCGATCCAAGAGCTAAACTCACCCGACACTATACCGAGGATATCCCGGACATCAGCCTATACGAGATTAGGATGGCCCTCAAGCAGCTCAAGAACAACAAGGCGCCGGGCGAGGACGGAATCACATCAGAGCTTCTGAAAGCGGGCGGAACGCCGGTACTGAGAGTCCTTCAGAAGCTCTTCAACTCCGTCATATTCGAAGGAGCAACGCCGGCGGCATGGAGCAGAAGTGTGGTGGTACTATTCTTCAAGAAGGGAGATAACACTCTACTGAAAAATTATGGACCCATCTCACTTCTGAGCCATGTCTACAAGTTATTCTCGAGGGTCATCACAAATCGTCTCACACGTAGGTTCGATGACTTCCAGCCTCCCGAACAAGCCGGTTTCCGGAAAGGCTATAGTACCATAGACCACATCCATACGCTGCGGCAAGTTATACAGAAGACCGAGGAGTATAACTTGCCACTATGCTTGGCGTTTGTGGACTATGAGAAGGCTTTTGATTCGATCTATTAATGTTTTTACATAAACATATTTAATGTACTTTTAGGGATCAGATATTTTAGTTCCAGTCACGATCACCACGCCTCCGGATACTCCTTTTCCGATATTAGAACTCTCTGTACCCTAAAAAATAATTAAATGACCACTCCCGCCTTGGGTGGGGCGAGAGAGAGCGTCAGATTCTTACTGACTAAAAACTTTCCTGTTCTTTTTCCTGGTCCCGGCCATCACAGTCCGGGCTACGGCAGTACAGCACAAAAAACTGGCTTGAAAAAAGCTTGCGTAGTTATTAAATCCCCAATCCCTATTTGGGGATTTCAGGAGTGGGGACTCCTCAAATCTCCAACAACCCTCAAAGGTGTCTAGAGTTCGTGGACGGCTTTGGTATTTTTTTGTTTTTTTTTTATTTCGTAATGTGTATTTGGCCGCCGCAAGCAATGATGCAACCTACAATGGAGCACGCCTTTCTTAACTTCTTCATAAGCAACCTATTAACTTGGGCTTTGAAGACACCCAGGTATACCCTTCGGGGCATACAGATTCCGGCAAAGAATACCACTCCTTAGCGGTCCCGATTATAAAATTGGAGGCGAACCGCTTCGTTCGTGGTGGGAATTCTGTTTTTTGCTATCCAATAGGAAAAACTTACTTGCTTACCATCATCTGGCTGTTCCTTTACCGCCCTTTGTCATAGAAAGCAAAATATTATCATAGAGTGTCGACGAATAAAATTAATTTATGTGCAATTAAATAAATAAATATAGTTCAGTGTGTTCTAACCTTTATTACCATACACTTACGTACTATATTGACCTTGTCACTCTCAATAACATCCCATTAAAGAACTCATACATCTAAGTACAAACAGATAATTTCATTGTTTACTACGTTTTTTTTTAATAATTACTAGTTATATTATGTATACCAAACACAGTCAACAAAAAAAATTTAAAAATTATATGAAGGTACCAATTTTCTTTTTTATACTTACGTATAATCTTCGTTCGAATTTCGAACTTCTCATGTGATTATAGTGAAAAAAAAATCTTAAATACTTTTTTAAATATATAAACTGTGTTCGAATTTTAAACTTCTCATGTGATCGTGGTATTTAAAAGTCTTATGCTAATAGTGACTGTAAGTCGATGCCTATGTTGAGACGAAGGTTGGCGGGAACAGAATATACAATCAAACATACATTTTTAGTCAGCATTTTCCCTACACTAAGTGACATTTCTGCTGTGTTGGAAATAAAAAAACTTATTTACAAAATTTTATTTATCAGAATTAATTTGGAATTATAAATTCTATACTCTCATTCCCATTAAAAAATCGTACCACTTTTGTCTAAAGAATTTTACAAAAAAAAACCTTTATCTTTGCTACTTTTTATTTAAAACATGTCCTGTATATATTAGCCAACATTCGTTATCTAAAGGTTTACGAATCATATTAGCCTAGTTTTTGGGGAAAGTGATCGTTTCGTATCTTTTTCAACCTGTTTTGAATTTATTGCCTAGCTCCTTTGTGCCTTATCGTCGGTGTAGTAGAATACAATTAAATATATTTTTTTTATTTGTTACAGTATATGTCTAGACTAGGTATACACGTGCCGCGGTTGGATATAGAATGCCTTGTTTGTTCATCGAATCTTCAGCTTCTATAACGAACAGACTGACAGACTATTATTATTTTGTTTCGAGATCCAAGACATTTATTCATGTCCCTGGGACGCGCCGGACTTCAGTGTCACTGTCGGCTTGTCCTATTCTGTGAGGCCGTGGTATCACTTCGGTCGAACCGACCCTTTTGTGTCGAAGCTTGGCTCTCCCACACTTAAATATAATAGTGATACAGCAATGCTATCACTTTCTAAAGGTCTGTTGTTCGCCATCTTTATCAGTATTCTTCGGTGTGGATATTATCGGATGTTATTTAGGCATTGTTGTGTTTAAACAGGCGCTG